TTAAATCCCTAAGCTTAGTTCCGTTTAATGAACGCCAGGGGCATTATCCTCTCCGGCGGCTTCTACACTACATAAGGAGAGCTTTTTTACATTAATAATTATCGTAGTATAGGTATCAAAATGAATCCTACTTGGCTAACGTGTTTGGTCTTTTCCGCATAGTCCAGTGCTGATAGCTGTTTTTTGGTAATATTGATGCTCAAAGCATGCTTTATATATGTGTACACTACGATATGATACGCAGATTATCTTAATACAGAGTGTCTCGTCAAAATTGGGCACATTTTGGCAAGCTGCCTATCGTAGTGGGAAATCGTTTATTCGCTATTTCTAACCCTAGAATAAAAAAACAGTACTTTTTAGAACATAACCTAAGACTCGTCATGCCCAAGGTAAAAAGTTCGCCTTTAAAAGATGAGAGAAAATCCATAGTCCCATGTCTCTATACCGGACGAGACTCTGCCAAGGCTTTAAATTTCTTATATTACCCGAAATTTACTTTAATGACAGTCAACATGCGGTTGTAGAGGTATTTGATAGTCCGGAGGATCCACAATAAGACATCCTTAATAAACAACAGCAAACTCGAAAAAAATACAAAAATCCATGCCTAGTGATACTGCTATCTCAGTTTGGAATTCGAAGGTTATTTTGAAAAAGACAGGCATGTCGTATAACCTACGAGGACCTCAAATCTATTACAGGAAAAGTCAAGCATAGTCTGAAGATGAAAAAGCTTGAGATTCGCTGGGCTATTATCTAAATGTGTCAATTATAAGCATGCATCATCCGGCCGTCCGCAGTTTTTTTAATAAAAAATTCATTACCACTGCTGCAAAAGTTGATCGAATAGAGAACCGCTGATTCGATATTTCCATTCTGGGCAGTGCTAAATTGCTGCTCATATTTGATCGTATCTTAAAGAACGTGATCTCGAGAGGGTAGTGTTAGGTCGGCATACTCTTCTTGTGAAGTTACACAGTTAAATATGTTTGCGAGGAACGTCCTCGTTCACGCATGCAAAAAAACTATTCAAAATCAATTTTCGTTTAAATAGGTGCTTCCTATAGAAAAGTGATATTAATTTTACCTTAATTTTAATAAGCCACCCTGTACTATTCCTAAAAAAGTCGCCGGTACAAAATATGTTTGCTTTAAACATAAAAATCGGAATCTTTACCATATGAGCTACTACCATTTGTAGATACTCTTATGCGGGCAGCTCCTTCTATATTTTGTCAACAGACGTTCCTTAACAAGATACTATCACTATTAAAATCGAACAGGTCATTGTATGCCTTGCCTAGGTTTGCAATGTAAGACAGTCCGATCTTTGTCCTAATATCTGCTGTTGTTACTATTGTCACGACATATATGCTTTGTTGCTGCCTCGATTTCGGTGTCGTGTGGAAAAAAAAATAACCGATTTTACTCAGCTTCGTTTTTCTCTAGAGCTCCGCCCGTCGTTTTCAGTACCTGTGTCTACACTACCTTAGTATGCGTTTTTTCTGGTTAGACGCCTTCGTTACAAGAAGGCATGAGGGAGCCTTCTACTCGGCCTGGTTCGATGTCTCTAGATCAAATCAGGTGCTCCTCTTTCGTGCTGCCGTTTATTGTTGAGTAGCACCGTGGACCGCGTTTGGTTATCGAGCGCGACATTGTCTCTCCTCATATCTCCAGTAGGCAGACCAAACGCTCGTCACGTGTTATTTCTTTCTAAAATCGCTCTCTTTCGCTCATCGTTTTCTTTGTTATTGCTGTTGTTGTGAGGTAGAAGTAGTAACAAACGATAGACAACCAGTCGTACGGAAAAGAGCAACATTACCACCCAGCTTTGTTTTTGTTGTTCCTTTCCGTTGATTTTCATCCTTTTGTCTTATAGTGTCCTGTGCTTTAACATTAATAGAGTTGTTCTCCACTATTATTCATGGATAGAATAATCGCGTTAGTTCTCTCAGCCCTTGGTATTCTCCTGTCTCATCCCTCTCAAGCTCGTTCCATCCGATCCTTTAATTATTTTTTCTTCTTGCTGCTTTTGCCGTGCTTATTTCTGCTATCGACAACATCCTAAGTGGTCTTAAGACAGGCTTTTAGGACCTTGACACTCTTTCTTTTTTTTTTTCGTTTTTATATCGATGACCAATCTTGCGCGCTGCTGGCCGTCCGTCAGTAGCTCATTATGAGAACTTATTTGATAGCCTTTATTTTTTTCGAATCTATGTGAGTCTGCTCCTAATTCTCGTAGTAGTTTAACACGCAATCGTCATTTGGCCATAGAAACCGCGTCTATATATCTTCAGTTTTCGTCGACTTCCTATAGACAAGAATCGCCGTTCGTCGTTAAATTGTACGAATGCCCTACATGGTATAAAGTCGGTGGCGACGATCCAGTAGCCACGTATTTACCCCAGATTCAGAGAGGCTCAACGAAAAATAAGGTTCGAAAGCAGGTGCAAACCAACCGTTAGTTCAGTGTTGGAAAACGCCGCCAGCCGCCATCTTTTATTTATTTTATATAAAACTAAACCTTAACGCGATAAGAATAAACTTAGGAGAAAAGTGGAGGAAAACAGACAAAATCAATTTGACATGACCTCGTCTGTGTAGGTCGACGCAGTTGCCTAAATAAGTCGGCAGACAAGAGCTTTTCTTGATCCAAGAAATAAGCGCAATAAAATGTTATAGTAATACGCAGGCAGAAAAAAGGAGAACAATGAAGCAAAGACAAAAGTCAGATACATTTTTACGCTACCGCTCCTGTGCTAATTGTAAGACGCAACGGCAGGTCTAACATCGCCTTCATATCGGATTTCAATGTCCATATCACCGTCATGGCAACTGCCGGTGCTACAATGTGCTACGCTATAGCCAGATGAACTAGCGCTTTAGCATGGTAAAGTTTTGCAGCATGGTTACGTGCTACAGTTAGGTGATCTCCTCGGAAAACCGCGTTTGCGACGCTTCAATCCGCCGCCCTCTGCCAGTGGTCCCCAGCCATCTGTGACTGCGACAACAGCCATAGTGCATCGTGGGCATAGAGAGACGAAGGCTCTAAAGTCCAGCGTTCTGTTAGGATTTCGGCAGATTTAAAAACCACTAGAAAGAGTGAAAGGGAAGAAAAGATGGAGACAAATGTATATTCGTCTGCCCACTGTAATGGTGGTCAGCAAGATCGCCTACTAAAGTACGCCGTTGCTTCTGGTTCACCTGTGGGACAGCAGAGGCAGCGAGGGCAAGTTACGGGCGTGTGACGACGACGGCACGGGGGGGGGGGGGGGGGGGATGGAGTAAATTGCTAGGGTCCTTTGCCTTTCCGCTTTTTCGCTGCTGTCGAAGAACGAATATATGTGCAGAGATGAAATGTGACTCGCGTGGTCAGCGCGTCTCTGACAGTGTGGCACGCTACTGCGAGGAGTAATTGGATGGGATGAAGTGGAGATGAGGGCGTGAAATGAAAGAAAAGGAAAGGCGAAAAGACCAGACAGAAAAATGGAAGTAGTTGTAGAAGAGAAAAGGGGTTCGGGGGACAGAGACTAAAATGTACATCCTGATTGGGGAGATTGTCCAAAAAAGGCAACGAAGTATTTTAGGAGAAGAAAGCCAAAGGCCTTTAAGACGGCCAGCGATGCGAAGTTCCCTTGACAGCGTAGACACTGGTGAGCGTCCTCAAGGTAAATTACGACGAAACATATTGTAGAAGGTCATAAACATAAAGGTACACGGTCACAAATAAGCGACACAGCCGGTAAAGGGTGTATAGAGAAATGCACCCTTATAATTAGAGTAATGGGCTCGTAACATGGAGAAACGGGAAAGAGTATGTTAGCGTGGGTCACTTAATCGACATAGAAGGTTCCAGCTACAAAATAGCCTCATGGCGACGCGAACATTACACCAGACATTCTTTGAATGATGTGAAGTTATGATGGTGGGTGTCGTGCGTCCTCGTGATGGAAATGCTCATCTCCTTGAAGATTCTCTTCGCTTGGTCTTAGTGAATTCGGCTTCAAAAACTTCAACCCTTTCTGAAGTTTTCATACATACGATATCACTCGTAGTAAGTACAAACACACGGCGTACTTTGTGTATATAATAAATGTGTACTTGATGTGAGTGGTAACTTTTCTCATGAGTAAACATCTCTATTGCAACGATGTTAGTTTATTCTAGCCAATACCTCGCGGTAGTTTATGTGACCTTCGTCACTAAAGCTCGTTTACTGACAAATCGGGCACATGTGCTCACTCTGATCTCTTTTTTTCAAAAGTTTCCTTAGACTTTAAATCTTGAAAACTTTGCTGAGACATTATACAGAACCTTTTACAGTGTAATAGAATGTTAGAAGAGCAAATTTTTCGATGGCGTTAATGACATGCGAAACTTAACGCGTTCCTGATTTAACGACTGTTGGTAAATCAACTGAAATGTACGTCAAGGTCGTTTAAGGGTCAAACCCATTATCGTAAGGTAAACGACATAACACGGTGTCCTATCTGATCCTGTAATACTGGTAGGAGGAAAGCAGTTGGTATAATACATAGTAACCCTTACTCCTGATTCTTTATTTTTTTCAAACTATAACGAAATATTCCATCCGACCCACTCCAGTCCATCTCCGATCGGCTAGATACGAGAAAGAACATGCCCATAGATAAAATACTTACAATATATAATACTAATATATATAATAATACAAGGGTAATGAAGTATGTAAGTAAAACTAGTGATAATAGTAACCACTTTATGCTGCTCGCGAAGCGTTGCCGAACGAAAATGCTTTGAAGTACGCTTTTTATAAGCACATAGCGAAACAGAGTAATTTCTAGGCTATTTAATTTATAGACATGGGGATCAAGTGAGGCAGGTCTTCTGGATTAAACGAAATTTATTCGTATTGACAGGATAAGACTTCTATTCTATGGTTCTTGGTGGGATGAAAAACGTTTGTAACGCTACCGTTATTGCATAATTAAGCACGTATCTGTTGTTCTGTCTTTCAGCTCGTGGGTGGGGAGTTTGACATGGAATTGAACTTTGTCATTAATAATCCCAACAATATTATCTACATGCTAGAACTTCTGGATCACAGTTCCACTCAGCTACAGGTAAGATTCCTTATTCGCTAAATATTCTCTAATATAAATAATATTTTATCTCAGTTTACTATAGATATTTTTTACTACATACTGTAGTTCAGATGAAATTAAATGGGACGAAAAGTTCTTGCTCAAAGAACAAGGTTTTTGATTCAGGGAAAAAAAAACCTAAAGAAACAAAATTTCATTATTTCTAAGTTATTGCTATAAGGAGACAATACGCACGCCACATTTTCAAGATTCTTCTGTTTCTCAAATCTGAATCCCTTCAGTAGCAATTGTTACTTATCTTCTGTTGGGAAAAATATTTTTCTCTTCCATCTGAAAGGTTACCTTTCTAAGTTCCATTGAAACAATTGTAATTTTGGTAACAACATTTTTTTAATTATTTGGGCAATCATATAGTATTCAAATAAGTTCATGAGCGGCTTCCGTCTATGTTTATATATGTTTATATGTTTATTAAACATATTGATCTCTGTCATAGATGACGAATGAAAAATCTATACTCAACTCGGGTCAAAAAAAAGAGCTCTTTATTGTTGATGTACAATAAACGCATTAGACATTAAAATAATAATGTAATTACATTACTCAGGCGTACAAACATCTTTTATTATATATCAGTTCACTATATGTTACTCTTAAGAGCACCGTTTTTTTCGATAGCGCACATTTATAGCAATCTGATTTGTCTCGATGCGTCGACGCGCGTTATTCAAATGCTACCCATTTCAACCGATTGTCAAGGATGCCCATTGAACTACGCGTCGTTAGCAAACGAAATTTGGCTAATCAATGTCCCAGTTTCTCCGAAATTTGGAAGTGAAAACGAATTGAGTTTACTTCAGAGGAACGAAGATTTCTTAGCCAGCGCTACGGGAAAAAATTTGTCGAAAATTGATGAAGACATTAGGCGGAAAGGTTTTAAGCACAGTATATGAGAGCAATTACTTACATTAAGTGTAAAAACTAACGAGAGGGTGACCAAGTGTCGAAACCCAAAGGACAGGGGCGCATTGCCGGAATCGGCGTCTAGGGGCCCCAGCGGCGATGTCGCAGATCTACAACCCAAATAGTAAAAATGCGGAAATATCGCAAAAAAAATTAATTGCTTAGGATTTGAGTTAGAAATGCGTATGGAGTATTCCACGCGCAAACTGCAGAACCTTAATCAGCAAAAAATCCGCGTAAAGCATACAGTCGTCAAGTAGGCTCGGACGTAAGATGATGGTAATACTTAAAATACAGGAAATTATGAATACGGCCCGCCATTTCGAGTTCCTCAAGAGACTTCTAGATTGAAAGGCAATTGATATGGTAGTTAAAAGCACGTGGTCCGGCTATTTGATGACCTCATTGCCATGCCTCAATTACTTACCAATTGGATTACATAAAGAAATGTGCAGCGTTAGCTTTAACCCACGTATACTTCTAATCTATGTCCTTGCGATTACGGGGTTCTCGACGCCCTAAGGAGCACAACCGATGAGCAAGTAGGTCCCACCATCGATTAACATCGGGCAGCCTTAGATAGGTAAATTGTATATGCGAACGCAAACTGTAGGTACATGGCTGTTTAGAAGCTAAGCAATAAAAGAGTACCTTCTAAATATTAAAAAATAGTTAAAAACTTCGTTTCCTACATTAAGTAATGATAATCGAGTCTCTTGCCAATTGTTTTCGATTCTCGTTCTCTTCGAACGTCCAGATTGATTCGTTGATCATTATCATCTAAATACTAGACCTTCTGAACTGTGTGCAGTCTTACAAATATATTTTCTACTTGAAGGAAACCTCATTTGAGAACATGTAACAAGGTTTCGAGCTTTATGTATTAACCTCAATTGAACGTTAGTTAAGATAGGTGGCTCCCTTTAGCACAAAACAAGGTGCGTCTATGCCCGAATTTAAACTTAACAGATATCAGTCAAAACTTGGAGGTCAAAATTAGAAAATCAGTAGGTAAACACGATGCCACTACACTATCACGGCAGCTATAGAAGTAGAACTGCGTTTGATGATACGCGCCCATGCGCGGAAATCTTGAAGGTTTGGGAAGAATAAACCCGATCACAATAAGCTGATTTTATCCCTACTACAAAAGCGTTTCTATTCCTCCGAAGGACCATGCGCACGAAATATGGACTACATTTGTATTTGTGCACGTGTACCAATTTACGAGGGCTGTACGTAGTAATTTGTATCGTGCCTGGTATGCTCAAGGTTTCTTTCGTAGTTATCACTATCGTTATTATCATTGTATCGGCAAAGTTAGGTAAATATATATATATATATATTTAAATAAGTATTATTACTCCGACGCTGATTTTGCTTCAGATGATTGTTCGCTGTCAACGCCAGTGATCGTAACTAAAGAAAATTCGTTGGATACGTTTTAAACATAATACTGAAAAATAGATAAGTTTAATTTTCGAGACATTAATGAACACACATACTCACCAGCCACCCAGTGTTTGTAATAGCTACAATGAGTCATACGCTATTACCCATAGCTATTCTCTCTATCCGATGAAATTCAAAAAGCCTATGGCCGTGGCCACGCCGCAGCTTGCCCCACAGCCACAGCGTTACCTTTCCGGTGAAGGGCAATCGATCGGGTTACATACCCACAGCCTATTACTTGGCGTTAGGCTCGTTGTCCCTGGCCTTCTTTCTTTGGTTCTTTATGAATACGTCCGTTTCCACCAATGTACGAAAACAACAGATGCCAAACAATGGAAAACAGACAGCAGCATGAATAACAACAATAACACTCACCAATGGGTTCTCCAGTTAACCAATCGACCATGAGCGGCAGGGCAACACAAAGGTGTGGCGCGAAACCTAACCTCACTTCTTCAATCCAAGCCCAGCTCACTTCATGTTGCGTTTTGGGTCGGAAGTGTTTAAATTGCGGAGAAGTGGCAGACAGCTGGGTAATAGTGTCCCTGCGAGAAGATTGGGTGGTAACGCTTTTGCCCCTATTAAACTAACGGTACTTTGTTAAGGTGAGATATAGGTTGAAAACCAGGCATAAACATGCAGGCCTTTTGTGCTGATAGGGGCGAAACATCTGAAGCGATGTCTAACTAAAACAGTACCTCAAGCCGTTTATTTAGGTGGGTAATGATAGCAATTACCTTTTGTCGGCATGTGTGTATACATACATCTTAGGAGATTCGACCTTACCGACAAAATTGCTATAATTAGGCATCTAAATAAAGGGCTCAACGTTTACTTCCAGTACTGTTTTGGTTACAGCACAAATACACTCATCGTGTATATATATTTTGTTCCCTTTGAGTAAAGTCAGTTTGTACATGTGTCTGATATTTCCGTAAAAGAACATCGGTTCCACAGCGAGAAGCATATCGAATTGTTCGGAAGCGAACGAACACATTTTACGTACTTGGAAGTCAAAAGATGTTAGTTGGGAAAACATGTTTATATTGTACGTCACGGGAGCTAGACAGTGGAAGGGCAACTTCAGGGCAACGATGTAGCGTGACGTGGGTCGGCACTCAAAAGGGAAGTGTAACCCATATAGCCTGATTAACAAGTCTGCGTACGCTTGTAGCCGGTATAACTAATCGCAGCATGTTGCGCTGTTCATCGTATTGATGTATAAAGGATTCCCTATACAATGATCGGCTTTCTAAGGATGGCAACAATTGAATTAGGTGCACCTGTGGTTCGTTTACGACAGTTTTTGTTGCCAATTAAATGACAGAAAACCACGCAAAACATTTCATTCTTATTAAAGTTTGCTAGCTCAACGGCACTCATATATGATATACGTACTAGCGTAAATAGGAAAGCATTTCAAGTTAATTCTTATATAAGAATTAATAATTGTTTTTACTACACAAATGTCTGTACACTATTGTAAAACTACTATTTCAATGACCAGCCATCCGCAATTAGGTTTTGTAGTACTTCTAGAAATCCGTGCTTTCATATTGATTGTTAGAGGATGAAGTATCAGTACGCAAAAAAGCTCGTTTTAAACAAAGAAATCTCACCCGGCGATAAAAAACGTTTCCATGTACAAGGGCCAAGGTCCACTATGGTTAGAATCGTGCAAATGAACCCTATTTTTTATATGAAGTCAGTTTTCTTGACTTATTTCGCATGAGAGAACGGGTTGATTAGTGATATTTTTTTTTATCAGAATAACTAGTAAAGTTAAACTATACATTAAGCTAAATTTTGCCGTTGTCGTTTCGCTATAGTAAAACCAACTGTTCCGCGCAGAACCCCCTAACGGTAGCCAAAAGTAGTGCCTAAAATTTTCGCCAGTTAAAGGTATCGAAAATTCAGAATGTATGCATAGGATAAAGTATCTAAATCGGAATTCTTTCTTACGAGCTGTTTCTGTCAATAATAATAATAAGAATAATAGTAATAACGATGATAGAACATCTTACAGAAGGTCGTTGTCCTTTCATTCGGAAATATCAGTTATTATTGGCCAAGTTCTAGAATAAACAAGCAGAACAAAACCTTTCCAAACTCTACTTTTTACTTTGATGTCGATAATGGCTTTTGTTTGTTTTTGCTTCTCTTCAGGCCGAGCTGTGGAGTGTATTGTGTGCTATGCTAAAGAAGAGTGTACGCAATCTACAAGCGTGCACGGAAGTCCACCTAATTGAGCACATCCTCGCCCGAATGGCTCATGTCGATCAGGTTGTCGCAGGTTAGTATAGTAATCGTTGTCGTTATCCTGGTCGTATTCATAATCGGCGATTCATTAGAGCCCACAAGACCCACAGGCAAACTCCTAGTGCCTTAATCTAATACGCATGAGCGATGATCCAAGATTGCGTTCGGTGGATTCGATGGAAAATGTTTCTGTTAAGAATGAGTTTCTCCGGCGCATTGCCATGTTCATATCTCTAATACATCGGCAACTATTTGGCAAACATTCAGTTTGGAAACAAACATCTAATGGAATCCTATGGATCCTTGTCATGTCGTTCATGTTACTTTTTTGAACAGAAACCGACTACTCTCAGAGGCTTTCATCCTTAATAATCTCCTTAAGTGTGGAGCATTAATCGAAACTGTGGTCAGGCCTTCACAAAAGGGCCTTTGTCGGCCTCTTTAGAGTGCACATTTGCCTGTGACTATCTGATCCGAAGGGCTCGAAACATTTGTTTACCTGATTTGAACAAATTTTCTGCTTTATCAAAGAATAGCCTCAGTTGATGGTAGCACGTTAGCTTACTGTATCTCACTCCATTGATGCGTTTCGTCTTCACTTTCATCGGACTCCTTCAATCGGCCTCAGACCTAGTAATCGAAGTACTAGGCGTGCTCGCAAACTACTCGATTACGGTGAGGGAGCTTAAATTGCTGGTGGGCTATCTACGTGCAAGTGGCGCCACTTGGGGGCCGCACTCGGTACGACTTCTCTCCGTACTGCGGGCGTTACCACATCGAACAGGACCCGATTCATTCTTCAGCTTCTCCGGGAAAAAGGTCAACATTTGTTTCACTAATTTATTGCAGTTGTATGTGATGTTGATGGGAGAAACTCTGCTTGTTCCACTCAGAGCTTTAAACGTCCAATACCCTATATCGTATCATAATATACGGATACAAGAACTGACAGGATTTGTTGTTACAATCAACGCGTAGATAGTATTTGCTTAACCAAGAACAACGTATATAGGAATTAGGATAGACAGAAATATATAGTAGCAATAGTTTATTATCAATTTTCGAGCAGATTTTTACCATGCTTTCTTTTCGAACGTTTGCAATGTAGCACTTCTAAGCGGGAAAAAAATCGAACGGCATGTAGGATCTTAGCTTTTACGTGCTTCTTGCTATTGCTCTATAATGTATCAAATGTTATCATATCTCATGTGCATCGTCTTTTTAGGGTTCGGCGATCGCAATTCCACCACTATCACGTTGGCCGTACCAGAGCGGATGGACCCTCTGCACTTGGTTTCGTCTCGACCCGGTTAACTCGGTGTCGATTGAACGTGAAAAGCCCTACCTGTACTGCTTTCGCACTTCAAAGGCCGTCGGATATTCGGCTCATTTTGTTGGCAACTGTCTCATCTTCACATCCATGAAAGTCAAGGTGAGTGCACACGCTTACTGTTAATAATAGGATAATTATAATAATATTGATATCAATAGCAGTAATAAATAATGGCTCAGATATTACCTTTTTTTTTTTTCTCTGTTCGAGTCTGTAGATGTTTGCCTAGCCAAAAATTATATCATAGCAGCATATTAACCTAGCAATGAGTTGCATAGTGCTCAATGTTCCACCGATGTCAACTCTTAGGCAAAACCATATAGTTACACAAAATTCTGTTAAATCCATAAATGACTGAGACAACATATCGCTATATATACATCTGTTCCGTGCAATAATCAAGCGCAATTTTGATGGGAAGACGCAATTCAACTCAGCAAAACGAGGCTTAACGAAACCTGTTACAAATGTCAATGTAACGTAAAGAAAGCGGGTGTGGTAAATGGCCTAGTATAGCAATTATGGTAGTTGTACGATTTCAACGTAATTCCTTATTCGTTAACTACGTTAAGTACTATAGACTTACATGATATAACTTATAACTTGAAATTATATCAATGGATTACGGGGTAAAGGCAGTGGCAAAAAATTGTTTAAATGGCTGGTCCTACGATATCGTTTTGTAACACCAACTCCAAGTGATTGAACCTTCGCCTGTATTTAAGCCATCTTCCATGATGTCCGTTTATGACGAGGTGTCAAAAAATGAGTCGTATTAAAGGAAGGTTACATCTACCTAACCACCCTTGGCCGTCGATTGTCGTCTGCTATGCTTAGAAAACAACATAAGTATACAGTTTCTGCCGACGGACATAAGTACATAAACACTGACTAACATGGACACTTTTCGTTTTCTTCATACAGCTAAATAAGCATCAGTCTGTCAACATAAAGGCATGCACAGCGGCACGTAATCATAGCGCTGTGGTAATGCTCTGCTCAAGATATGAATATTGTCAATAACCTTCTTTGATGAATCTTCGACGGCCATCTACGACATGGCGCTGCACACACGCTAACAGGCAATCTGGCAAGTCGCACCTCATTCCAGATTACTATATATTACAATTGATGACCTTGGATCAGCACTTTGGGGCCGCTCTGACGTGCCAAGGGGGCTTACCAATCGTTAAACGAGCGCATGGATTAAAATTGCGTGTTGTATAGCTAGTAAATATAAAAACAAGAAGGTCTTTACGGTAATACTAAGGTACTGAAGTGCAGTCTCTTTTTAATTGGCGCGTAGTGTTCCCAGGTGTTACTGCTAAGACAACAAGCACCGGCTGTGCTAACTGAGGGACTAAAACTTTCCATTCCACTTTTATTCCTTTTGGTAGAACCTTCGAGGTTTATATAGGGCAACGTGCAGACAGAACATGCCTACCTGCGTAAATGTATCTCAGTGTGCATGACTGGAGGTATTTTTAAGGCTATTAGTCTGTAGCATGCGTACCGTAAACCACGAAATTTTAGGTAATGATCTTAGGATATTTCATAGGAGATGATGATGATGATGATAGCGCTAGAGCGGGAGGGGGCATTGACGTGATGGCTTTGACGAGAGCCAATCAGTTCTACAACGAAGCACTGACTGACTGACAATCGGCCGTTTAGAAGTCCATGGGCGACCACAAGGCCTAATTAGCTTCAGAGCAATAATTTTATGTACATAGTATCGCAATGAAACATTTGAATGTTGACACCAGTGATACACCTGGAGAAACGGGGACATTTAATCATATTTGCGTCTAGAATGACTTTCAACAAGGTGACCATTAAACCAATGTTGATCGTTGATCGCTCAAGCTCAGTGTTAACACGTGAAGGTGTCTCATGGTTGCCGGATCGTTAAATTCGGCGTAAAGTCGCTCACCTGTTTTTCCCTTATGGAAGAGGAGCAATGAAGTGATCTTACACGACTGTCATTTGTTTGCCTCTTCATCTATTTGGTAGTGGGTCACGAAACCAGCATAAATACAAAAAGAAACGTGAAGTACGTTGTGCTCGCGAGTGTGCCACAACGAAAAAAAAAAACCTTCACGCATTTTCGTATCGAATCTTGATATAAATGGAAGTGTAGATACTATATACAATTTAATGGGATATTCGCGTTATTTATTGTATGGAAACTGTGGCCTCTTCAAAATGTTATGTTCAGGAATAAGGTCCGATAGCTTTGGCCTGTTGGAGCTTTTAATTCGTTGTTGTTGTTATAAGCGTGACTCGAATGTATCGAGTAGCTTGTTTCAATGTGCAGTATATTCAGCTGTACTAGAGTAGTTCTTAGTGCTCGTCTTTACTGCTAAATTGAGTGTCTATAATATGTATTGTATTCCTTTCAATGCTAGATTCTCTAATGATTAAAAGCACCTGAAAAATGTTTCATGTTATAGCCATTTGTTGAGAACGACGCCATGTTGACAGTGTATCTTACAAATCTGCAGATAAGTTCGTTGGATCCGTTATGCATATCACCGTATAGTGCGTACCCTTCCGTTATATATAATCGGGATGATCATATATTACATCGAACATAGAGTTATTTTACGATCAGCCAATTTAAAGTTTTTTCGATAGATACCGCGATGGCGCTTTCGTTTTTAATAAAGTTTAAGTGAACAAAATATATGTACTTCTTGTGAGTCGCTTTACCAAAAGTGAAGCTGAAGTAGAATAAGGTGTTTGCTCAGGCGAGATCCGCTTGACGAACGTAGTAGCGTTTAATTGGAACTACTACTGCTACTATCAAGCGACCGTATTGGCGATATAACAATCACTAGGTAATTTATCGATTCCTCATTGACCGCGTGAAGTCAGACGTAGCGCTGTAAATTTGAGGAAACAGGCTTCTATGGCTCGCATCATTCGTTTGAACTTCGGATAGAATTCGATAATATTATAGACAAGTTCTCGAAGAGCCTATGCTATTGTTTTCATTGTATTAGTTTTTAAGAAATTTCGTTGTCGTTAGGATCAACCGCAGCGTGGAAGGGTACTATCGAAAATTAGCTAATGTGCTAACGTAACGGAGTACGCCTTCTTTTTTCACTCGTTGCTATCTTTTAATGACAGTGTTTTCCATAGGTAGAACACAGTATGTGACGTTTCCTAAGCTTATCTATTCAATCATTATAATGCAGTAAAGAGCAACCGAAAATATGCGAAGGCAAAATACAGAAAAGAAACAACCTCTCCATGCACCCTTCATGCGTATTACGTAGGCATGTTATACCACAGCATGATTAACCTATAAGCCAACCTGCTACCTCCAGTATCTGCGACATCTCTGTCAGCCTCAGCCATGGCCCGTGGCAGGTTGTTAACAGTCACAGGCCCGCGTTAACATGACTCGATTGAGGCGGCCTGACCGCTAACTGGGCTGGCTTGACAGCTTAGATGGCGAAATCGGTTGGAAGCAGCAAAACGGCAGCCGTAGCTCCCAAAGCCCAGCTCTTTCCAACCGAATCGTTCGCCGAATAAATTTCACGAGGTGTTATTACTCGAATAAACGAAGCTAGTTTTTCGGTTAACCAGTCAACAGCGAACTATGCTAGGAATAGAAGTGGTTCCGTAGTTGAACTTTCTCTGAAGGAGCGTAGAAGGACCGGCGAACCCAAAGGGAATCTTGGTTATCGAAAGAGGACTGGGAAAAAACAAGCGAAAATGTCGGGTAAAACTAAGGCAGACAGGGGCGGCTCGGGTTTAGGGACGCAGGGGTGTATGCAATGCTATTCCCAGAGACTACTGCTATTACTACTTCTATTATCTCTAGCAAAATTCAGCCGAGCGCAGATTAACTTCATGGAAGTTCAGCCAAGAGCGGGGTGGAAGTAGAATGGAAATCGATGCACTCTCCCCGTTTGGTTGGCGCAGATATCCTTCTTAGTCACCCTCACCGCCAACTCTGACGCTATGGCGGCGCACCTACGTTCATGGTTCGCTCCCATACCGCTATATGATATCGATCGCAACGGAAAGAGGGGAGAGAAAACAGGGCGGTTGAGAGGTGTAGAAAAGATCGCCACAACGGCTTACTTTTAAAATCGAACTACTCAGGCCCTCGGTACTGCTCTATTATAGATCCATAGCTAGCTAGTGCGACTCATAGATCCGCTCACAGTTTTTTCTCTCTTTCTCGCAAGCGTGTGCATAGGATGGAAGATGAGGAGACCATTTGGAGAACGTACTACTGCTGAAGTAGCGTCAGGATGACCTTTCCCACTCGAGCAAACTCACTAGATTTCGAGGACAGTGATTTGAGCAACGGTCTCCAAAGGTTTGAGGTGCTGGGGAAAACAGTAAACTTTGAAACCTTGTCAATCCTTACTGGTACTGTCATCGGCTGTGAGATAATGCGACAGCGCGTCGCGGCGAAAAAAACTGGGATAAGCCGTTTACAAAGTAGAAATTGTTGTGGGCTCGATTTCATCGGATTTTATCATACTACCTATAAGATTCGAGGCTTCTCTTACTGGTTTGGAGATGAGGAAGGGACACGTAAGTAATAGAACTGAGAAGAGGGTAGTCAAAATGGATAATTTGGACGACCAAGCAAATTGGGTTCCTACGATAGTCTCCGCTTGTACAGTCAATTGACTATATATATACGGCGGGATCCTGCAAGGACCACAAAGTTGCCCATAATAATATGGTATTACCGCGCTAGTGAATGTATATACTTTATCTCAGTAGTGCTTGCAGGATCCTAGTGTAGTATACGTACACGAGTATCTTTGACCAGATCACTTGTATTTTCAAGGACGGTCTCTCTTTCCAATTGTTGTTTACAATCAGTTGCTAGCTAGCTAGCAACTCTAGCCTGATTTGAGCCTGACCATTTACTATTTTCGAAGAACAGCTTAACGGTACGATGTGTGCGTACCACATATCACTTGGTCTATCTGACATGCTAATGCTAAACCGCAGCAACCTTTCCGCTCATATACCTAACATTCTAGCTTGTTATTTATCAACTAATAAACAAACCCTTAATTAATCTCGCTCGCAGAAACTGTCGTCCCCAACGTCAACTCCTATTTCGGCCGAACCTCGTCTGTGCAGCTCTGTTTTTACAGCCCCTATAAAACTTTTGTGTTGGTAAGCGTATACGCTTTTTTCCATTAACATCTTAGCTAATATAGATGCTGACACGGGTACAACTTCATATCGTTTCTTGTTCTTCTTTTGACGGGCTCCCGACCTCCAGCAATGGCTAACTAGTTCAATGGCAATGGTGGCTGCATATGATTGTAGTAGCAAACGACTGAAACAAATCACCTCGTTTGAATCAGGAGTGGTAACAAGAGGCGGTGGTAAGGAACGGTTTGTTTGATTTTTTTTGTGTGAATCCAGTTGCGTCTCGTTGCATGTCACTCGTGTGGTGCTACCTAGTCGGTTGGTCTATTGATAACTTAATCGCTGGCCCGGTAGGGACAGTTTACTTCGATTCGCTTTAGCTTCAACCGGGGAAAAGTCTCCTCTCGGGGGGTGTCTGGCGACTACCAAAATTATCAGCAAGTAGTAAATGGTGCGTTCACTATATCAACGCGCGCCTAGACCGTTTCGAGGGCCAAGCAACAGATCCGCGTTGCTACATCATTGTTAAGAGTCACTGAAATACGCGCGTGACTTTCTGTAGAACCATATGGAATCCATAGCAACGGATACCAGTTGAGTTGTATGTCAGCCAGGTTGGTTTCAATGACATTCGAAGAAAAACTGACTCTCAGCATTAGAGAACAGTGCACAGCTACCTCGACTGCATTTTATATGTCCTAGTGTGCGAAAAAAAAAAAAAAAAAAAAAAAAAAAAAACAAGAAAAGTGACGGAAGCTGTGCTACGTCATAAAATCATTGTATCCCACCGTGTGTTGCCTATGCCACAGTCGATTAAATGAATAGAATTAGGATACGAGCACTGTATGTGTCGCGATGTATGAGCTCGAACGCTGTCCCAGTATAGCGCCTTATTTATTGATTTTTGAGACCTTATGGTTGTGAATCCGACGCCCTACATCTATATACGTATAGAATATTATTGTATAAAAGCCCTCTAAGAATAGCTGTGCTTTCATCAGTATATTGTAGACAGACCGCGGTTGAACTCCTACAAAGATAATTTCGTTTACGGGAGTATTGATAGATATACCTTTTCTATGCTTCAGTAAACGATAAGCCTTTGAAAGTAGTTACGGATGTATGTATGTTATATTCGTCGATGATTTCTAAGTCGGGCAACTGTGTTGAAGAAGAAAGGCCATTTTCTTTTTCCTTTTTTTTTCTTGTTTTTCAACATGAACCACTTTTCCTAAAAAAAAAAATTTGAATCACTACCTCTTGAACGTCCCTCGCTTACCTTCCTCGTATAGTCTGATTACAGATACTCGTATATTCGCAATATTTCTCTTTTTTTTTCTTCTACCTAATGTTTCCTTCGTATTTTTCGGCTTATGAACTAGAGGCGGATGTGTGTGTATACGAGTGTGTCTGTGCATATAAGCTATCATTGTGGCGCTGTCCTAAGATGATATTTGGCTACCACTATCTAGGGTAAAAGACCTTCACAGAAGCGGTGCTTCCCCGACGGAGTAAACTCAGGTCTCGAAGTCTAGTCCGAGTCACCAAATCAGATTCGCTCCTCACAGACGAGGGAATCTTGTCTGTATCATAACAAGAACAACCGGTGGGGCGAACACTTGGCGATACAGCCGCGAACCTCAAAAGATTTCCACAGCGCCAATCGAATCGCTGTAAAAATCTGGTCGCAATTGACGCCCGACTATTTCAGCTCCAATTGCAGTGTCGCGCATTGCCGGTTTGTGAGTCTACGGACCTCATTGGCCTGAACAGTTTGTCTAGCAGACGAAGTGCTCCTCTGAAATGGATGACCCAATAGACCTGCCAACACATCTCGATTCTGCTTCTACTGCCGCCTTCTAGTATTTTCGTTGCTCGCGCGTAGTAACCATCCGTTTGGCGGCTAAGGAAACACCGTCGTGGGATCCATAAGATAAAGCCTTGAAACTGTGAACCAAGTCAATAGAAACGTAGCATCCTCCCCGTTTCGCCATGTTGCCTTCGGGCATCCACTGGCTCTATTGCAAAAATAAGGAGGAATACCTTTTACAGAAAAATTGCGGCAGCATTCTATAGCCACTGCTGCTGAAGCTGCTAGTACAATCGGTTTCGACAATTCGTACTGAGCTAGTAGTATTGGAAGGTAATGGAGCAACCTCCGTCTGATAGCAAAAAGGCATCTACTGCTGAACATTGATCCAATTGATGTAATCTTGCTTTCATCGGGCCTCAGAATCCGAGAAGTCTGATCGAATGACAGACAAAGAGAAAACGCTAGTGTGAAAGGTACAGGTCTTGAAGAAGTCAAAAGCGACGTAAACGAAGCCTTGTACGATAGCAGTATAGTAGATATATAGTTCAACGGGGTTTCCGTCTGCCTTGAGCGTACAGTAGAATAAATGAGTTGCGGTTGTGTGTCCGATCAGAGGAATGGAAAAGGAAGCAATTGCCCGGGGTCATCGCCTGCTCGTCTATACTTTGTACGACGAATTGCTTTTTGCCCCCGTTTCCTTCTGATCCTTTCTATCTCGCGTTTTCTCCTCCTAATAACTCTGTTCCTCCGCATAACCGATCGAAGCCGTATCCGCCGTGGTAATGCAAAGGCCCAGCTAAGATCCAATCCACCGGCTTTCGCAAGCAGGTGACCTTAGATCACCATTTGCAGAAAACGCTGCAGTGACAAAGTGATATCGTTACATCTCATTTCTTCGCATGGTAAAAGGAGGGTTGGAGGTTGCAGGCTTGGGTGTGCCTACGCCCTTCCATCTCGCCAAGCCGTTTCCGATCTATGAAGGTCGACCAGGTCCAGGCAACCCAAAGTTGTGCTATGAAACATCAAAGAATGCAGAAACTCATAAGGGGAGGAATATAACAACACATAGTAGTTACCACTAGCGCAAATAGATCGCAGTTGTCCCCGCGGATCACTCGAAGATGTTGAAACCATACAAGGAAACGTGCTTTCTGCGGGTTTGACGTACGTTTTCTACTGGTGCCTCCTTCAAAGCAAGATGAAAGCGTAACAGCAACGTGAGAGGATAGCTATCCTGCGGGATCTCGCGAAATGCCACGGTCTTGATGCGGCACGGAAAAATCAGTGTTAGCTTGGTATAGCGCATATATGAAATCACAACAGTGCAATCGATACGAAGTCATTTACTAACACGTCGGAAGTATAGTTATAAGGGTGAAGGAGATAAACCCTTTCTTGGGCGCATCCCACCAGCCGAAGAACACGGATGCAGAATACTTGAGCGTGCCTGTGCTCCGAAGATATGCTCCTATATAAAGCTCAATTTTGAGTATGTATCATCGACAGTGAATAGGTTTTCATTTGCTAGATAGGCTAAACGATTAGGACTTTCGAAGGATATGTCCTACCAAGGCTCGATCGATGTAGATCGTCAAAAGCGTGTATTGGAGAGAAAGGAAAAACAAGTACATTATTTAGCTGCGTCTCCAATGACACCTTATGTGCTTGTACTTTCAGCCTGGCGAGGTTTTGTGTGTTTGGTAATAACCTAGTAGCAAGAACTATGGCTACTAGTATCTACTAGCATGGCTATGTCTTTATTGAAATTGGAAATCTCAAGTACAAAACCATAACTAGATATACCTCTACACGTAAGTAGCAGAGTTACAGTTCAAACACGTTCCTTAATATATGTTAATAAATATATTAACGCTGATTGCTTACGTTAATATATTTATTAACGTAAGTAATCAACATATAAATCGTACTAACAATTACAAATGGAAGTTAGTAGTGCCGGATCCATTTAGCAGATGCCACGTGACAGTGAAAAATCTAGATTAAATGAGTTCTCTTTTAAGTATGCAAAATGAAGACTTTCTAACTCGTGTAGGCTACTTGCCCACCCTGTATATGCATATGTAGGGTACTCTTTGACATCAATTACATTAAGCTTGACCTTGGTGCAAGTAGTGCGTCTCCAGAGATTCTTTTTTGCACCCAACCCACGCAGGGTAGCAAACCGAGCACTTGGCGCAATGCGTTTCTTTCTTCTATCGTACTAATGATTCGCATTATACATATTTATCGTTCACTTTTCCGTTTTCTGTTTGTCTGTGTTATTGTTATGGTGTCCTATTAGGGCAAGGGGTACCAGCACTGCGTGAAATACGAGTTCCAGCCGCGGCGGTGGTATATGCTAGCGGTCGTTTATATCTACAATCGGTGGAGCAAGAGCGAAATCAAGTGCTTCGTCAATGGACAGCTGGCCTCTGCCACGGAGATGAGCTGGCTGGTCAGCACAAATGACCCGTTCGACAAGTGCTATATTGGCGCCTCACCCGAACTCGACGAGGAGCATCTGTTCTCCGGCCAAATGTCAGCCGTGTACCTATTCTCAGAGGCGTTGAGTACGCACCAGGTGTGCGGTATCCACCGACTCGGCCCCGGGTACCAGGCACAATTTCGATTCGAGGGCGAATCGCCGACATTAAGTGAATCGCTCCGCAGAGTTTTATACGATGGGAAACTTGCGCAGGCGATGCTCTTCTGCTATAATCCGGTAGCAACCGACTCGCAGCTTTGTCTACAGGCTGCCCCGAAGACCCCTGGCGGAGTTAGTGGGGGCGCGGCGTTCTTCGTTCATAACCCGCACGCGCTAATGCTACAGGAAGTGCGAGCTGTTACAACACACGGAATCCACTCGACGCTCAACTCGATTGGTGGACTACAAATGCTATTCCCCCTACTAGGTCAACTTGACTATCCGGTGCAGGGTGTCGAACACGATGTCAATACAGCCAAAGCTAATGGCATATGGTATGTGTGGGTAGTTGTGAATGTGTTTTTCTTTCAATCACATAAACACGTCAGTTTCTATAATTCAGTATAATAGGAACATCATGGCTTAAACGATTCCGAAGGTTTTCGTTAAAAGACGTTGGGCGTCACGGGTTAAAGCTTCGAAGATGATACGTGACTATTACAGAATGATTCGTGCAACCAAAGAAAATTAATAAGATAGTATTGGCATTAGGCCGAGTGCAAAACGCACTACAAATGGCCTGGCAAAGCAGCATGCGGCAAAGGATTACCCTTATTTGGTTTGTGTCCGGAGATTTCGTGTCATTATTTACTTCCTGTAAGTCCAGGGTGCTGCTTATATGCGGATTAAAACGGATGTAATAATTAATAATAACAATATGTATTTCTACTAGAAGCGTATAGATAGGACAGATAATGCATTATCTGAGCTCGTTGCTTAAATGTGGCATTGCTAAATATACTTTCTAATGCAGAACCTATCTACAGAGGAATATAATGTTCGGGTAGATGGCTTACTTAGATAATGCAGGTTTTATTACTTGTTACCTACTACAAGTTATTTATACGAATTTAGTTACTGGAAAACTATAGCATTATTGAACGTTCCTTATAAAGAAATTGCAGTAATCAATGGCTTAATTTTTTAGGTAAATCTCTCCATTACTTCTAGGCGCGATGACCATTTTCCTTAGCAAAGCAGTGGTATTCTTTTCTTCCCTTACCAATGATCTTCTACAAGCAAAGCAAAGAACCAAAGAGCAGAGTCACCTTTATATAACCAGCTAATTTATCCTCCTAATGATTGAAACACTTCAATGATTCGCAGTGCCACCCTAATCGGGTTTATCTGCGAGATGTGCGAAGGCAGTACTGCGGTTCAACAGCATATGATCCAGAACAAGGGATTCCTCGTTATTTCTCAACAGTTACGTAAGGCGTTACGGCACCATCTGAACGAAAGTGTCCTCCAGTCATTTCTATCATTGGTCCGTCATCTACTGACCCTATCGACTGCCAACGGCGAGCTGCTTCTGAAACATCTTCTCGACCACGTGCTCTTCAATCCAGCTCTGTGGATCTACACCCCAACACCGATTCAGATCAGACTCTATTCATACTTGGCCACCGAGTTTCTGGCGGACACTCAGATCTACGGAAACGTCCGGCGAGTATCAACCGTCCTTCAAACAATGCACATACTGAAGTACTATTACTGGGTAACCAATCCATCTGAGAAGAGCGGGATAGTTCCGAAAGGCGCAGATGGACCGAGGCCTGCTCCGCCAGAGATTCTCTCGATTCGGGCGTACCTCTTGCTGTTCCTCAAACAACTCATCGTGAAGGGATCAGGCCCGAAAGAGGACGAACTGCAAAGCTGTCTCAACTATTTAACAACGGTACACGAAGACGACAATCTACACGACGTACTCCAAATGATGATCGGGCTCATGGCCGAACAACCGGCAACAATGGTGCCAGCGTTCGACTGTCGTGCAGGGGTACGTGCCGTATTTAAGCTCCTCGGATCCCCTTCAGAGACAGTACGACTTCAAGCGTTAAAACTTTTGGCATTCTTTCTGAGCCGCAGTACGCATAAACGGAAGCACGACGTCATGAGCCCGCATAACCTCTATATGCTGCTCGTCGATCGGTTGCTGCTTCACGCAGACCATTTGACGTTGGCCACGTACAACGTGCTCTATGAAATGCTCACGGAACACATTGGTGCTCATATTTTGTACACTCCACATGCTGAGCCTGAGCATCATTTCCGACTGGAGAACCCCAGTAAGTATCGTCGTTTTGGTCGATGTCTTTCTTGGTTTTCTTCGCTGTTTTATGGCAAGCTATGAAGACTGTTATCGAGTGACATGGCTTTATACGGTCAAGCCAGATAGTCATAAATTAGATCTCTTCTTTGTAATGGAATATACTTAGCCCGCATCATAGGAGTTTCAGCTAGCTGGGTTTTTTTATGATATTAAGTAAAGCAATGCTTGTCGACACTTAAGCTTGCAAAGCATACATCACGGGGTTGTATAGCAAGCAGTGCAAGCCCTTCAAAATATTTTTTTTTATCATTCATTCTCTTTACAATTGTTTTCCTGACACCTTGTGTTCAGTAAGAGGAAGCAATTTGTATAAGGACTAAATAATACGAATGTTACAGTGCCTATATAGCATTCTGTAAAAGCCATTCTATACAGAAACTCTACGGAAATCCAGTATGTAGTAATGCAGCTGGTCTTAATCTATTTCCTTCGACCCATTTTATCTCTCATTTCCTACTATAATTACTATTCAATTATTATTATTCATGTTACTACATCTACTGATTTTATCGTTTCAAACTTTCAGTGGTCCTAAAAGTCATTGCCAGTCTTCTCCGTCAGTCAAAAGCGTGCGACGAACTGATGGAAGTAAAGCGCCTCTTCCTCTCTGACCTAAGCCTGCTGTGCAACGCTTCCCGCGAGAATCGCAGGACAGTCCTGCAGATGTCGGTATGGCAGGAATGGCTGGTCGCCCTGGCATACGTACATCCTCAGGATCAGGAGCAGAGGAGGATTTCGGAAACTGTGTTTGCTTTATTCCGCGCCCTCTTACATCATGCCATCAAATATGAATATGGCGGATGGCGCGTTTGGGTAGACACCCTGGCCATCGTGCATTCGCGCGTCGCTTTCGAGGAGTACCAGCTACACTATGCACAGATGCAGTCAGCCCCAGCTGCGCTGCGTGAGTCGCCCTCCCCCGCGGACGAAACGGTGCCAGGTGTCTCGACCGGAGGGCAAATCGCTTTGACAAATGCCCCCTCCGTCCGAGTCCTGGGTGTGGCGTTGTCTGCTACCACCCCCTCGCAGGAACTCCCTGCCCCAAGTCTCGCGGAAGCCGTTTCCTCTGCTACTGCTGGTGTCGGTAGCAATCAACCATCGTCTACCGGCGTCGGCGGTAACCCAATGGCTCCAGTTAGCTACTGTTCATCCGCCCAACAGCATAACATGCCCAGCACGACTTCATCGAGCCCTTCCACCGCCGATATTTCCATATCCTCTTCTTCTTTTTCGGCCCACAATCAACAAACGCAACATTTGTCGCAACCGTCACCACCACAACCGTCTGCATCTGCCGTACAGGATCAACAAACTGTTGACGGTGCTCCATGCAGTGATCATCAGTCCTATAATGGTATTACTAATCATCATAGTCAGCATCAACATGATCATCTTCAGGCGTATCGGGGCCAGCAGATTTCTTCTTCCTTGGCGTCCTCACCAGAGAGAGGCAGTCGTGGGAGCGTAGAAACGGCAGGTCCTCTGCAAGTTGAGCAGGTGGTCATCACCGAAGATGGGCAGGTCGTGTGCACCGCAGGCTCACAGGAGACGATCGAGGAGAAATCGGATGACGGAACTGAGAAAGAGCTGCATGCGGATGCCAAGGAACGTTGCCAGGGCGTGGGTGAGGCCACCGACATCAAAGACCAACAACAAAGCGTTGACAGACAACAAGCGACCCTGACAACCATAACGACAACGGCTTTTATAGCAAGTAACGATGAAGAAGAGGCTGCGACCACGCAAGGGTCGCAGAAGGTCAAGGTAAAACATACCGAAGAACAACAACGGGTAGCTCAGGGAGAACGGTCCCTTGACGCAATGAAAGATACGATCGGGTGCCAAATTGCGACTGAAGCAAGTGCTGCTGCTAACGACGTGCTTAGGTCAGAGGAGACCACGAACAACGGCGTTGTTGCACATACCAAGGATGAACAGGAACCCAAGGTAAGAATCTGGTGTTTTTTTTAGAGAGCAGAGGTTTATTTAAATAATTGAGTTGACAATTATTACACATATAAAATATAATACAAATAGTAGTTCAACAATAAACGACACCAAAAAATGCTCCTAGTGGGACGTCGACTTCATCATGTGAAATTCTCTTAAACAGATACAATATGACATATATATAAACAGGAGCTTAAATTTAGAGTTAATGTGAATGATTACGGAAATTTACGGTTCGTCCTTTTGAAAGCACAGTACACCTTATATCAAGGTCCCAAGATTAGTGCCTTGCAAGACTGGTAGGTCATTATTCGATCTGGCAAGGTATAGAATGTATGAAAGGTTAATCTATCTATCTAACTGTTACGTTCTAGTATGTTAGGGGTCTACGGCTTCTTTACTCCGTTTGGTTAAGCCTTCATGAAGTTCTTTGGGCACTCCACCCCATTGGCTCACAATACCCAATATCTTCCGCCGGAGTCGTTGCTGCCTCGGGTTAATTAAGGATAATGAGGCGTTGAGAATATATTAATTTGTCTTCACGCTATTTCAGCTGTCCTCATCGACCAAAATTCCGGACTCTACTGAAGACCTACCCGGTATCCATCGAGCCCCAACAACTCCTTGCCGCAGAAGCTCGGCGATGGCCGCCTCAGAAGTAGAAACTTCCGCTGCGACAATTACAGATTCTGGTAGAGGAGCTAGTGAGCACAATGAGGACTCCTCTGTCATAATCAACAAAGACCAGTTGACGTCCGTCGTAACCAAAGACGCTGTTCCAGAGGCTGAAATGAAAGTCCTTGAGGATGTCAGCTTAAGCGAAGAGGAGGAACGGGACTCTTCAGGCTCCCCCCAGATGATTGACTGTCCCGCCATCGAATCACCTGCTCCGTCGCATACGTCACAGGTGTCAGCAGGCTCCGGTATTGAGCACGAACCTCAAGAGGATGACGGCAGAGAAAAACACGAAAATGAGGGTGAAAAGGAGATCCCTATGGATGCAGCTCTCGTCACGGAGCTGTCCTGCGATACGATAGAGTCCTCAAGTATGCCGCTATCCCCTTTACTAGAGAAAAAGGTATAGTGATTTTCGAGAAGAAAATACTTGCTGCCGAATCTTTATTTTTATAACAAGATAAGCAAATTAATTACTAATGTTTAACTCACTTATTATTGTAAGAAACCGTCAATTTAAAGTTAATAGTCATTACCGCTGGATGACATTACACCGAATAGAAACATATGAGCACACTCTACCTTCTGTTAAATTAGCCCTACACATCCCTAAAACAAGTCTAAATATGTCTGATTATAATTTATTTCGCTTAATCTTCCGTCTTACTTTCATTTGTGTGCAATTAGGCCGCCGAACAAAACGCCAAGAGTCAACCACCGCCAACGAGTGATGTGGTCGAGATCAAAGAAGTATCAGGCGAGGTGGAGACCGTTGACATCACCAACAGCGCTAACAACAATAATAATAATGTGGGCGGCCGAGAAGGTCGTGGAGGCTGTATTAAGAACGAAAATCACGAAGCGGTCCTCGGAAGCAATGGTAAAGAGTCCGGTTCAGCCATTGAGACGGGCGAAAGGCTCGCAGGCGACTCCGGATCAGCCGGCAGTCCTGAACAAGTCGTATCCACTATCGATGCTCAGTTACAACATAGCTCGTACCGGGGTCTAGAAGTCGCCAAGGACAAGGTCACAGGACTACAATCCGACGGGGCAGAGCGGGCCACACTAGAGGACCTTGGGCCTGACGGAGCGGAGCCGGCCAAGTTGCGAACAAAAAGTGTCTCATTTGCTAACGTGAATGATACGTATGAGAGCGTTTACCCGCCTGGTCACGGCAACGGGACCGGGGTTAGTAGTAGCAACAACAGCCGGGAAAATAGCTCGCATGCCGCATCAAGGTAAGGGGAACTAAATTCGAATGGAAAGCTGGGCATAGAATACGAAGGAAAAACTGAATGAAATGGAGATCGAACTATTTCATAATGACGGAATAGGCATGACACTGTTACGGTTACCATGTAAATTATATGGGAGTAGATGAATAGGATTTTGCTCGAGATCAGGTGCGCGCGTAAATTTGAAAATTAATTTCTGTATATTTTGTTGTTTTATTATGTATTGGAGCTAACTTCAGAACATTGCAGAATTGGTAGTGGTGAGAATACTAAGCTTATATAATCAAATAATAATAGTCACAATAATAATAATAAACACCTACTTAGTTTTTCTTTTTTTACGTTTTAGACACTTGTTCAATAGCGGGCCTTCGCGACCACCTTTCCGTATTCCCGAGTTCCGCTGGTCAGCTATCCACCAACGCTTACTGTCAGACCTGCTCTACTCCCTCGAAACCGATATCCAACTCTGGAGGTCACACTCTACAAAGACCATCATGGATTTTGTCAACTCGAGCGACAACGCCATCTTTGTCGTTAATACAGTGCATCTTATTTCACAGCTTTCCGACAACATCGTTATAGCCTGTGGCGGACTTCTTCCACTACTGGCCGCTGCAACCTCGCCCACGGTGCGAAATATTCAGCTTATAGTAGAATATTTAAATCTAAATATATCAAATTAACTGATTAATTTGTCCCTTCAAGCTCGACAGTTTGGAACTGCAGTAGCTTTTGTGCTAAAGCACTAGCCAATGTGCCAGTGTTTTCAGACCTAACGCTGTTTGAATGATCTGCAGTAGACATTCGGTTTTAGTCGTAGGAGGGTTGCAGGTAAACAGAGCCATATAATAAGTGAACGCATAGATCAGGCAAGAGAGAAAAAGTGACTAAAGCAAGTGGCTTACTCGAATAATCCTCCTGCTTCGGACAAAGAAACATCTCACAGAAACGATTTTTACAGCGTGTTTTATGACAGTGATGTATTATAGCATAGGAACTGAGGTAGGATCAATCAAATGGGAATTTGTAGACATTTTTTTCATTGACAACCTCGAATTAATTGAGCCGAAGTTGACACGGTAGTTTGGACGACGGCCAGTACTCTCGCTGAGCGACACCAGGGATACATATTAACCTTTTAAGAGAAAAAAAAAAGGAGTTCGTAAGTTAACTATATGCTATACTTTGTTTATACGATATGCCGTCCAGCAGACAAAGAAGGAACCACCACTAACCTAAATAATCTTCGCTTCTTCCTCTTGCCCGTTTTGCCCCTCCTATGACAACCCCCTCGTTTACCTCTTGTTCAGCACGAGCTGGACGTGGTAGAACCGACGCAGGGGCTATCATCGGAAATGAGCTTCGCCTTCCTCCAGCGTTTAGTGCATCTGGCCGACGTACTGGTGTTCGCTTCATCGCTTTCGTTCTCCGAGCTCGAATCGGAAAAGAACATGGCATCGGGGGGCATTCTCCGCCAGTGTCTACGGCTCGTTTGCACCAACGCCGTGCGGACGTGCCTAGACGGACGAATCAAACTGCCCGCCCCCTCACCACCAGCGCAATCTAGCGGCAGCACCGGTCATCATCACGGCCATGGAGTATCCTCGCAGGTACAAACAAATCACGCAATGGCCAGTGCCCTACAACGAATGCGTAACGACCTCAGCGGCAGCCTGATGCAGGTCAAGGAGCCTGAGAAGCTTCTACAAGACATGGACGTTAACAGACTCCGTGCTGTCATTTACAGAGATGACGAGACTAAACAAGCTCAATTTTTAGCTTTAGCTGTTGTCTATTTCATCTCCGTTCTGATGGTGTCTAAGTATCGAGATATATTAGAACCGGCTAGTCCGCATGCGGAACGCCGCGACCGTGAACAGCAGCAGCGCACTGCGTACGAAAACAATGGCCGGACAACGGCTTCGTCGTGTCACCACAGCCATATCGGTCATGGGCACGGGACATCCGGTGAAGATTCGGATATCCTGGCCAATTTGCACTCGTCCAGTATCCCGATTATTCCTAAACAGCACCTCGGTCAGGGCCACTCATCCACCCATGCCTACTGTCACCAGCGGAACGCACACCTGTCGTCTGTCAGTGGTGAGATTTTCTTTTAGGTTAACTGAGTTATGACGTTCTGTGTAAACAGCAAGAATTTATATTACACCTCAGAGTCATTGCTTAGTTATTTAGAAAAAGATAATTCTATTTGAGTCACTTTCTTGGTCGCACTTAATTTTGCTGCTACATTACCAGATATAAAATGCAGACTCTTAAACTGTGACGTGACTATTCTCCCTCTGTCAAAAGACTTGTATTCCACGCGTATCTTCGAAACTGTCCCGGTACGAGCTACACAAACAAGTGAGACTATCGGAGTGCAATGGCAGTTGATCCGCGGAGAAAAAATAGAAAGAAGCCTTTGTTACTACATTCTTTTTGCTGACCTGTATTGATCGAGCTGTGAGCTGGTGCAAAGAGTTTAAAATTCGATTTCTGTTAGTCTAATGGCTACCGTTTATCTCTATCTATCAATAAATTTCCAGACGAGGCTCATGGCGGATCCAACAAAAACGGGGACTTCACTCGGGCCGGCCAAGGTAGTCAGGGTAACGGTGAGTCTCGTGAACCGAGCCTCACCCAAAAACTTGAGACAGCGCTGTGTGGGGTATGCCCGTTGCTCCGTGAGATCATGGTCGATTTTGCGCAGTTCCTCTCGAAAACGCTAGTGGGTTCCCACGGTCAGGACCTACTTGTCGAGGGCAAAGGCTTAAATACGTTTAAAAACTCTAGCTCGGTTGTTGAACTTGTCATGCTGCTTTGCTCACAAGAGTGGCAAAACTCCCTGCAGAAACATGCGGGTTTAGCATTCATTGAACTAATTAACGAGGGACGCCTGTTGTCACATGCCATGAAAGACCACATCGTTCGGGTCGCTAACGAGGCTGACTTTATCTTAAACCGCATGCGCGCTGATGATGTCATCAAGCATGCCGATTTCGAACAGTTATGCGGCCAAACCGCTGCCGAACGTCGCGACGAGGAGAGCATGTGCGACCACCTGATCACAGCAGCCCGTCGACGAGACACCGTCGTCGCACAGCGTATGATCGACAAAGTCCACAACATGCTCACAAACCGACACGGAGCATGGCGAGACCAGCAGCAGATGCAGCAAGCGCGAACGCTGGCGTTGCGTGGCAGATGTGGCGTGGGCGGCGGACAAGGCAGCCCGCAGTTTACCCCTACAGCCACCGCGGGAACAGCATGCACTAATAATAACAAAAACAATAGTGCCCCTGCGATCGTCACCGTGACCAACTTAGCCGGCGGAAAAGATGGTCTTACAAATCATTCGGTTCCAACGGTTACTACTGCTAGCAACGTTGCCATCGACACCTCGACGAACCGCACTCGAGTAGATTTTGAACGGATCGAGCATTTGAAGCTTGATAGTTGGGAGGACGACGCTAGACGTAGAAGACGGTTCGTCCGCAACCCCCTCGGATCGCCGCATCACGGCGCTTCGCTCAGGGCCGAACACGCCCACGGCCACAACGATGACGCAGCGACCGTATCACGCGATCGCGAGGAGCTCCATCGGCAGTTGGCGGCCCAGCGACGGCAAAACGGGTCGCCGGGCGGAGAGCTGACCGGTGGACAAGCGGCTGACGGAGCCGAATATTGGGAAGACAAGGAGTTGGACGCGGAATACACCGGCAGTGTAAGTCTGAGCACTCGATGCCGACTAATTGCTCCAGGCATAACTGCGCCGGGCACCCTGTCAGTGACGCAGTCCGAACTCTTTTTCGAGGTCGACGAAGACGATGCCGAGTTCAAGAAGAACTGTCCACGCGTAAGTTAGATACGATGTAGCATCTTGAAGTAGGTCAAACATCACGTTGAACTGGAGGTAAAACATGGCTCTCGATATAAGGAAAAAAGCTTTCGAACAGAGAGAAAAAAAAAGGTTTCCAGATGAAATACATGCTCCAAATGTCAGTTTAGACTTTTTGAACTGAAGGCATATGTTTGCTCCAGCATAGACCTATCTAATAGGGCAAAGTACGAAATAGGATCTACTTACTGCTAGTAGAGCTGCATTATATACACCCCTATAGTCTGCAAAGGTTTTGGATATCGCGTGTTCGGAACGCTATTCTTACTACTGTGTTTTTCTGCCCTGCAGGTGCTGAAATACTGTGAGCATGTTCATGGCAAGTGGCACTTTAGCGAAATCCGGGCAGTTTTTTCGCGCCGCTACCTGCTTCAGAATGTCGCTCTCGAGATATTCCTTGCATCAAGAAGTAAGCCATAGACCTAGTCCATGCGCACATTGTTCTATTCTAGCATAGAAGATGTCATGTAGTATCCATCTGTTAACGTCTCGATTCGTACGAGAACATAACGCAATAAGTTACGTTTCCTATTTAGAAGTTCTTGCTAGACAGAGCAATACAAAGATCCCTTCTCGATCAAATATATGCCGCATAGTTGTTTTGGGAACTTGAAGCAATTCTCAGTGGCACTACTGGACATATTTGGTTGAATGGGCTCAATAAGTTAGTTATGAACGCGTTGCTGTTTCGTCACACTGATTGTTTCTATTACACCCGTTTTTGTTTGTAGCTTCGATCATGTTCGCGTTCGACAGCGCAAAGACGGTAAAAAGGGTGGTGAAAGCTCTGCCCCAGGTCGGTGTAGGTATTAAGTATGGGATCGGTCAAACGCGACGTGCGTCACTGATGACGCCCCGACAGATCTTTCAGCAGAGTAACATGACTCAGAAGTGGCAGCGCCGAGAGATATCCAATTTCGAATACCTCATGTTCCTAAACACGATTGCCGGCCGCACCTATAGCGACCTCAACCAGTACCCCATATTTCCTTGGGTGCTGACCAACTACGAGAGCGCTGAACTCGACCTAAGTTTGCCCTCGAACTACCGTGACCTCTCGAAGCCCATTGGTGCGTTAAATCCATCACGTAAGCAGTTTTTCGAAGAGCGCTATGAATCATGGGAGCACGACGTTGTCCCGCCATTCCACTACGGGACACATTATTCGACTGCAGCATTCACGCTCAACTGGCTGCTACGACTTGAGCCGTTCGCGACTATGTTCTTAGCTCTGCAGGACGGCAAATTCGATCACCCTGACAGGCTTTTCTCGTCCGTCGGTCAGTCGTGGCGTAATTGCCAACGTGATACGTCCGATGTCAAGGAGCTAATCCCGGAGTTTTTCTATCTGCCGGAGATCTTCCAAAATCACAATGGGTTCCGGCTTGGGACGAGGGAAGATGGTCACCTTGTTAGCGACGTTCAACTGCCCCCTTGGGCAAATGGCTCGGCCGAAGAGTTTGTCCGTATCCATCGAATGGCGCTGGAATCGGAAATTGTTAGCTGCCAGCTGCACCAGTGGATCGACCTCATATTCGGCTACAAGCAACGCGGGCCAGAAGCTGTACGAAGCGCTAACGTCTTCTATTACCTCACGTACGAGGGCAACGTCGAGCTGGAAAGCGTCAAAGATCCGGTAATGCGTGAGGCTATCGAGGAGCAAATAAAAAATTTTGGAATGACACCATCTCAACTACTACTTGAACCACACCCTCCGCGCAGCTCAGCGATGCACATAAGCCCATTGATGTTTTCGCCTGTGGCCGACGAGGTTTGCATGGTGATCAAGTTTCTGTCAAATTCGCCGATTGTGCACATCTCAGCCAATACTTACCCGCAGTTACCAGCGCCATCAGTTGTCACGGTGGCGGCCAATCACAACTTTGCCGTCAACCGCTGGAATCCAAACTTCAGCACCCCGTTGCATGGGGGTGGCGGCGGACCCACGGGCAGCTATCATCACGATGTGTCCTCCCAGAGCGGGCCGGGTCAACAGAACAGCCAGGTCCTTCCATTGTCAATGGATCCATTACTTAGTAAGTATAGTTCGCCTTTTTAAAATCACTTTTAACAAGAGGTATTGTTTTTCTGACAAAATCTGAACGTCTGAAACACTTCGCAACTTCTAACTCGCCTTAGCTAAGAAGTAGTTTCGACCCTTTGATTGCAACAAATGCTAAGTCACTAATTTGTACCTATGGGAAAGTGATGAAAAGAAAAGGAGATGATTTTAAGTCTACCTAAGCGCGCCATTCCACTTAGTTTTTTCGTATGTGTCGTGCTAACCTTTGTACCGTTAGTGACATTTGAACCTAGCATAGCATCGGTAAGAGTTCAAATATCTTATCTGATAAGATTAAATATATACGTGAAGATATTATGTCAGCGCAAGATTTTTATACCCATAGTCTCTTATCATTTAAGCCGTCTCTTTTTTTAAATTTTTTTAGTGATGAACGTTTCGCCGCATAAGCGCCACCTCGGTGATTCGGATTTTTCGCAGCGGCTGAAGGTCCGACCATCGTGCTTCGTCACCACGGTCGATTCGCGTTTTATCATCGCTGCCGGATTTTGGGACAAATCATTTCGAGTGTTTGCCACGGAATCTGCTAAGACTTTGCAGATTGTTTATGCGCATTTTGGGGTCGTTACATGTTTGGCTCGCTCAGAATGCAATATAACTTCAGACTGTTACGTCGCATCGGGCTCAGAGGACTGTACGGTGCTGTTGTGGCACTGGAACGCCCGTACCCAGTCTATCGCGGGCGACAACGCTAATCCCGGTCAGTTTTTGCAATGTCCGTTTTGGGCGGTCTTTTAGATATATTCTTTATCAGACTATTCCTGAGTCGGTTAGAAAGAAATTTCGTTTTTTAAGCATATCTCAAATTCTATTAACTAAGGAGATTCTCTAAGATCCTTTATTAAAGATACTACTTCAATAGATGAATGTTATGATCGCTCTCTTAGTATGCAGGAGAATCTCTCACCTACCTTTCGTGCATCATACAGGCTTCTAAGAAAGCCAATGAAAAGTACATCTATCGAGGCGGTGCACTCCTAAATAAAAAAAAAAAAAAACTCCTAAATTGAAATCCATGCCATGCTCTGTAGATCCCCTCCGAGGTCTGTTAAAATTTTCTGGCCCACCAAAACTGCATCAGTCTAGATCACTTCACATCGTTGGCTGACTGACCAAGCCTTTATATGAACCAATTTTGTAGCTTAATATAAAAATCGAACGCAAAATGCGTCCTGCATTGAGCGTTTCACTTCAGTTTTAAAAAATATGGAAGGGTGTCATAGCGGATCTTTTCGTTTCTCGAACCACAACGCGTAGCTTAGTATGTTGTTCAAAGCGGATTCTCATTTAACAAAAATAGTTTACCTTCGTCAACATATCTGTTGCCTATCAACTATGAAAAGCAAAAAAATCTTGCTTTCATAAGCGTTTCTATTCGGGCATTCAAGAAATACAAACATAGCATTTTTGAGTCAACGCTTCGTAGTGAAGACTCGGCCATCAAAATCGTTTTCAACAGCCGAAAATTCATGGAAAACGAATAGAGCTCTATGATTAGAGCATTTCACGAAGATTACGATTTCCCCAGACGCTCTGACAGAGTTCGGACTACATGCGAAACCTAGTTTTTTCTGTACAAGCCATAGAAGCCTACAGAAGCAGCAGCAGTTACATCTTTAGCATACAGCTTATCATTAGGTCTCTAGCTGAAACGACACAACCTAATAGCACCTGAAATCACTTTCTTTCGTATTTCGCCATCAAGCAACCGCTAGTTGTTAGCGAGTTAAATTAATAGCAATTTAATGAATATATTATATTTTCTTTGTCAACGGACAGCATTAAACCCAATCTAACTTTCGCTGATTGCTTGATCTTATCTTCCCGATGATTGGCGCGAAAATTTGAAAACGCTGTCATCAAATTTATATACGATAGACGTTCCGACGCCACGAGCATCACTATCCGGCCATGAAAGCGAGGTGACATGCATTGTCGTGTCTGCGGAACTTGGCCTCGTCGTGAGTGGCTCACGTTCAGGAGCTGTTCTCGTGCATACGACGGCAGGCGACCTGCTGCGATCGGTCCAAGGTCCCGAACACTTCCGCAGTCCGCACCTTGTGTGCCTATCCCGTGAAGGCACTATGGTACTTTGCTACGATCTAAGTAACGTGTGCGCATTCAATATGAACGGCAAACAGCTCAGGGCTGTTACACACCATGATGATATTGGCGTAAGTATATGTGCTACTGCTACTCTAGTCTAGCTACACTTGCATAATAATTCACTGAAATAGGACTGGTTGTGTATCCCTTGGCCCCTTGATGTCCTGTTTTTAATAAAACAAGTACAGACATAACAGTACCTCAACAAATTCCCATAGTACTAACATTACAAATAAAACTGATCACGATAGAGCCCTCGGTTAAAATTGCAGTGACACGTTTAATGCGTGCAATTAAGTTATGCTTGAAAAACGTTTTATACACTTATTATATTACCATCATAATTTAGTCATGTAATAGTTATATTTCGGCGCATAATCTTGTCTCGATAGAACTTGGCTCCACAAAAAAGCACAAACCATGATTCTACAATATTTCAGTTCCTAACATGTCAATTTTATTACTTTTTTACTCTGAAATGATGACGCTGATTCCATTGATATCGTCGTAGTGCTGCGCGCTGAGTCGCGACGGAGAGTACCTTATCACTGGAGGTGAGAGTGGTGTTGTCGAGGTTTGGCGCACGTACAATCTGGCTCTTCTCTACGCGTTTCCGGCGTGCGAAGGCGCCGTACGTTCCGTCGCCCTTTCACACGATCAACGATTCCTCATTACTGGTCTGTCAAACGGCTCAATCACCGTCTTCTACATCGACTTTAACCGATGGCACCACGAGTACCAACAGCGCTATTAATAATAATTAATACTATGACTAACAGTAATGACGATAATTATTATTACCGAAACGAAGTATAGGATTCAAATAGTTATTGTCTGGTAATGCGCATTAGCGAACACCGGGTTCGCTTCTTCATACAGCTACGACTATGGTAAAAGTGGCGATAAACTGATCTCCTCTGTATATGTACGCTAGTCAATAATACGTTTACTAAAACAAAGGAGAGAGGAGATTGATCTGACACTCCGGCGAAAAATATTTCAAAAAAGATAAAAATTATCAGTCTCGATTAAAATCGATTGGATTGACTAAGTAATGCTTTCTGAGCAGTTTTTTTTTCCGGTGCGGCAGTTCAACTTATCCTGAGCAATCGTTTTCTTCACAACGGAGCTAAAATTTTGAGGATATTTCCGATAGCTGAATTCTGCAGCATTCTTGGCTGGTAAACCGGCCATTGTATTTGTAAGATCTGTGCGATACTGTGCTAGCATTCGCGTGCTAGTACGTCGTACGTGTCGATGCTTTGTGCTAAACAAATTTATCTTTCTAAATAGTAGACAACATAATTAATCATCGCTCTCCTACCAAGTTTTGTTTACCAGCTGTTGGTGCCCTGATCGGTGAAATCGAGCGTCTGTTTTACGCGCGTTTTTGTCCGAATGTTGGAAAATAATGATAGTAATTATATATGCCGATATAAAACAATAACTACAACAGCCACCGAAACAGATCGAAATCAGCAGACGCTGCAAAAGGCACGAACAGTATCGAATTATTTAAACTAAGGTAAAAATGAACATAAAACCAACTAACGTGTAGGCACGCCTCGTTGCTGGGTCCATAGCAGTCAAATGGGATCAGCAAAGATACACGTTAAACATAGCCCAGTAGTTCCCGAAACTTGCCTTAACAAAAGACAACGTTGACGTGAGCGTTAGTTTTAGTACCATGATGATAATATCATTGAAAGTTATAACTTTATTATAATTACATTATAATTGAACAAAAAATCAACGAATAGTCGTACTCAGCACAATACACAAAAGGACACCCCAAACGCATCACAGAAAATAAGCTAGAAAATACTGTGAGAATACAAACGAACCGTAAGGGCAATTGCATGGGGCAATGGAGAACAGGATCAAACAGGACAAAAATAATTATGACGCATTCCAAAAACAGTGGGTTAGAAAAGGCATCCAGATGGTCGAGTGAGAAATCGCGCTAAAAATTACGACGTGAAGGTTTCTGATCGCTGTTGCTTCATTGATGAAAGTCGCTTTGCGCCAGTCGTGATCGAGGAGTATCTTTGAAGATTCGGTAGAAAGGAGAGAAACCACGGGAAGAAGGATGTTATCTTCAATTAAAGTAGCGACAGGTAGGCGACAAAACAGACATCGCGAGAGGAATGAATCTGAAAAACGGCCGTTAGCTTTTGATATAAATGGTGAACTTCGCCAGTAATTATAGAACTTTACAAATAACAATAATACAAGTGCTGACTGAAAGTCAACGAGACATCATCTACTAATAGTACTAATGACAGGTTGGTTCTTCCGAAAAGATAAATATGGGTACGTGTAAACGACAAGAAACAAAAAGATGGAGGGCTCAACATATACACGACATATGGACGCTAATAAAAAAGCAAATAGAATGTACATCTATATATATATATATATATATATATATATATATATATATATATATATATATATATTACATATATCTATTGACATATAGATGTCGGTGACTCCATCCGATTTGTCCTATCTGTCGCATTATTTGTATGATTATTATTACACTAGAATTAGCGGTAGTGCTGCGTTTTGGAGCTTCGTTTGTTATGCAGAGAGAGAAAAACAAAAAGAATTCAACTCTGCCCGTAAAAATTAACGAAATAGAAGAAGTAAAGGAGAGTATTCTTCGATAGCGCAGTGATAGCAAAGAAAACCGATCGATGTTATCGCGCTGCCCAAAAGTCGTTACACATGCAACTCCAGTGATCTCCGTAAACTGTGTAGGGAGTATACGGAACTCTAGAACACGAAACTATATAGACAGTGTCGATAACAACGATAATGGTTGACGATAGTGGTAAAAATAACGATCTTCATTTTTATAGCTGCGGCCACGTACTTAAAAATACGAAGCTTAACATCCATACACACACACACGCACACGCACACGCACACATTTTACACACGTTTAGAATAATGACCTCTTATTATTGGCCTTCCCAATAGCATTTCAATGGTCTGGTCTGTCACTGAGATCAGCGATTTTGAAGATCAGGGCGATAATAAAGGATCGTTGCCGAGCCACGCAGATACACCCACACACATGGGAACTAATTCTCCCGTGAAATACGTACATACATCGCTATTTTCTACTCTTTGAAGACTTTTAGAGACCTTTTGTACACGCTAGTCAGGAAGTCTGAACAAGTAATTATGTGTCAAGCTATGTCAAGCCCCTCAGATAGAAATCGACCGTGAAGAGCTCGGCGCCGTGCAGAAGCATAAGCAAGTGAGCACCCGAAAGTCTTCAACCAACTGAACAGCGTTGCGAAGCGAAAGCAATGATCGAATAAGTCCTGTCTCGTATAGTTATTATTTCCAATATTACTATTGTCGCACGGGTGAAGGTAATCCTTCTGTGGTCTCAAACGGCCTGCGCGTTGTCATAATGCAGATACCTAAAAAGCTAACAATAACGTACGTTACCGTGTATTCGAATTACACTGTCCATCGATTTAGAACGAAACGAAAGAAAGAAGAGGGGACACGTAAACGTAAAACCGCAAGAACTGTTTTATCGCTGCGACTATCGTGCTGGCAGTGTGACGAAGTGTAAGTATTACCAACGTTCATTAATATTTACCCTGTTTATTATTATCAACCGCACCAAGTTTCGTATCATTAACTCAAACACAAGACTAACATATAAACAGAAAATGCATTTGGATAATAATGTTACATTGGTGATGAAACCAATTAACTCGAAATCGATAACGACAATAATATTACTACTACTATCGTATATTATTTATTAAACAAATTGCTTATTATTATTATTACTAGGACAGTTATATTAGTAGAAAATATCCATGTATGATGTAATAGCTATGGTACATGTAGGGAAGGGCTGTAGCAGTGCCGTGGTAGCGGTTGCAGTTGACGTAAACAGGTCACTTTCTTTTGAAGGAAACCGATGTGGGGAGGTCATTATGAATATTTGTGGTGACAGCAACCGATTATGAAAGACAATATAATATACTATGTAACACCGTGTAGCCAGTAGATAATATACTGTGCTCAGTAACGATAAAAGGCGCAGATGTTCCGCAAAAAGATGGCGGCAGATCGAAACACAAATAGATGATTTATTGACACAACAAGGACGAATAGGTCAGAGCTGTATGCCAATTGTGAATTGATATTCTGCAGTGTAGGCAGCGTCGAATAAGCGAAACGTTGTCATAGTTACGTCATGATTATATGTTGGAACAACGAACACCCATCCGATCTACTTGTAGTGGTTCATAGATTACTTTCATATACAATGGACATATAAATCTCGAAAAATATTCGGAGAAGAGAAATGAAAGTCGTGCCATTTCGATAGGACAAAGCATCTACCAGTAATTACGATGACAATACATGTGCAACGATAAGCCAAGTCGACTGAGACAAAAAAATGACCAAAGTCAGTTGTACTATTGAGGGTTGAGAAACTGACTAGCAGTTTGTAAGGCGTCATATATGACCTGGGATCCGTAAACACACGCGAACAGACACACATCTACCCGTTCACTCGTTCACGCTAACTATACATATGGCCGTGCTTAACGATCACATTAAACACCTGTACTGCGCACTCGCAATCCCTATAAATACAACAACAGGAAAAGGAAAAGAAACGACTGAAAAAAACAACCATGTATAGATTATAATAATACTAGAAACGGACGGACTGCCATAAAGAAGCAACACGAATTAACACACGAGCACTGGACAAGCAATAAGAGAAAAAAAAGCCGCCTGCTAAGAGACGAAATTTGTCTGCTAGGAGAATACGGATGGCTCAAAACAAACAAATCCATAGATAAAATAGCATACACACAAATCGAAGCGTAGATAGGATCACAGAAAATATTGTGCTATCTAGAAATACGTGCGAATGTCATGTCATATACGGAAGTCTAAGCGCAAGCACATCAGCCCGCCATAAATACGTCATAAAAATAAACGCGACTCAAAACATGTTCGCAGTAAACAAATGGAACACAATTTCAATACAAAATGCAAAAACAGATAATAGACAAGCTGACTCATGGCTCTTAACTGATGACTGAAGCTATGAGACTTGATAAAACTATGTAACCAATTCAGCAATACTTCCGTCCCTTCGGCCAGGGATCGTCTTACTAATAATTTGGGGCTAATCAACTAGTGTGATTTAGGTCGGCCCACAGTCCTTCTAGCCCTAAAACGGCAACGGGTACCCCGCGTGTAGAATCCGGCCAATTCGCGTAGAGGTTAGCCCCTGAGGCCTGCGCGATCTTTCTCGAAGCGTCTTCCCCAAGCAGTAGAGTTGGGACAAGATTTAGAACACAGTTGCTCCGACATACGCCATTGTTTGGGAACGCTTTTATGGGATTGTCTCGTGGACCCTATTTACCCTGCCGTAACTCCGCCTTAGAGCGGTTTCGCTCCGTCCGTCTAGAAAGAAAAAATAATCATGTTCATGTCAAACATGTTCCAATTAACTACTTGAAACATGTTATAATATGCGAGACACAGAAAAGGAGATAGAGGAAAAGTAATAAATATACTAATGCTGGTTAATATAATTATAAAGAAGAATTACCATAATAATAATAAGAGGAGGAAAATATACGCCGACAGATGCTATTACTACATAATTATTATTATTCAAGGAGCACTACGGTTTATATTAAAAGGTTTGCAAAATGGACTAATTTATCGTCGCGACATAGTAGAGAAAAAGAGGAGAGAACTAGAAGAGATGCGGGGTCGAAAAATAGAATATAAATAATAAAAAAAAAAAAATAGAGAGACAAAACGACGCCGGAACAATGAAAAGATGACGTACGGGCCATTACGTACGGGTGGTCGACGAAAACGCTGAATATTGTGAAACTCACATACTATATTTAGAGGCCCAGGTATCGGTATTCGGACTGCGAACATGTAACGATATTACGATGTATCAATGCCAGTGCAAAAAAGTCGAAAGTAGCTAGGCAAATAGTGGCAGAGGCAGGTAACGTAGTGCATGCTGAGCACATTTTGTTTGGTACATGGGTAACTAGCGGTAGAGAAGAGAACGAAGAACTTCTGTCGAAAAGGGCAGGAGCGATAGAAAACAGGCCATAATAGTAGTTCAACAAGCGAAAAATGAGAACTTCCACCCTTCGACGCATAAGTCAAACTGGAAAATGTGGAAACGATGAAAATTTACCCGACAGTGTATTTCCTCTACTTGTTTCTAGTGAAAGCTGATCACACAATTTTAAGTTTCTGCCTACGACATCGACAGTTTCATATAGGTTTGTGGCTAATTTCGTCGACTGGGCATTAGAGGAAAATGGGTGCTGATTAGATTTCAACTAACCGAAATTATTAACGTGACAGAAATAGAAGATTGTATAGCAACTAGAAGTTGATAAGATTTCGGCTCTACCAGCCGGACACGCGCAATCGATAAAGGGATTCCACAGGCCGAATTCTGCAGCACTGGTCAATGCAGTCGACATATATTGAAGGGACGGAAAAGGATGGCCGGTTCGAATCGGCACCAGGGCGATAGTACGCGATATAGAGCCTAATGACCGTAACAGCCTGACAACGAGAACATGACAGTGAGCAGTAGTAAAGTTGTTGCTGTGTGAATATAGTGTTTGTTGCCTATAAACGTTTGTTTGTCATGAATAACAATAGCAAATGGTCGTGCCGAAGATGTTCGAAGCCCGAACAACGACGCTAGACGTAAACGAGAAAAGAAACGTCCGTCTAGATTCGTCCGGCGGCCAATGAAAGGCGGTGTGATCGATCGCGTCGTACCGTTACGTAGGCTGCGTCATTACTTCTATTATAATCGTTATTATTGCACTCGACTGAGGATCATATAAACGGAAGATAGCATAAACTTTGCTGTAGGCGAATGATGTATGCTATTAATATCGTCTTCGAACGGTCGCTGCATTGACTACTGCTGACACCAGTGAAAACATGTAGGAGGTCGCTGAAGAAATGCCTCTGTTGCTTCGTTTGTTGCTTAGTGAGTTGCTTGTTTATGTTACTATCACACCTCTTCTAGTCATTCAACGTTAGTGCATCCAATGCCACAGCCAATCAGGTCCCTTCAGAGAGGTCAAACGTTTGACGGAGATTTGAAAGCAGGGAAGAGGAGCCTCCGGACCTGACCCACACTACGTTTGACGCCACTTGTTGATCAGATGTGTCTGTTTGGCCGTCGCTTTCCTTTTTATAGAGCCATTTAAAGAGCTGATATGAACTCCGTCCGCGTCAGAGGCCGGTAAGCAGAGAATAACTAGAGCCGCAATTATGACACGTATACAAGTTTATACGCAAAATTTCAAACATCATGTGCAAAAAGGACAATGCTCACATAAGCATTAGAAAATATTTCATCTTGTTCGCCGAAATTAGACGGTCGTACTGTCGAGAGAGGCAAAAAGAAACGCCTACGCTGTGGGATTAATCAACAAGTGCAGATTCTCCAATTTTTAATTGCGCGGAACTTACAAAGCTTTCAAAAGATGTCGACTTTTTTTTCTGTGTTCTTAGTTACGGAGTTTGTATTGTATTCGATACAAGATTACCTTTCACTATTACCGAGAAGTCTTCAATGATCTGCACAACTGCGCAAGCTTTTACCAGAAATCAGCGGGGTGCTACCCGTCCATACCCTACAGTGCTCTGGAAAGTTTATGCCACGAGATGACGTTAAGCCATAAGGACAAGCTAATAATTAAGATAAATTGTGTGTTTTGAATTAGGTTACTGACACTATACCATCAGAGACAGTATAATAATTATCTAAAATGTCAACCGCCTTTCCTTGCGGCTTTTGTGCGTCCACCGATCTGGAGCATACGGGTACTAATATATATATATATATATATATATATATATATATATATATATGATAGGAAAGGAAACTGAATTATATTTCGCCACTACGTAATGCCACCCGAAGATGATAATAATACGATCCGAAAGTATATACACTTGAGCCGCATTGCAACAGTAGAATTAACAGCTGGAACTGGTCAGGGATGGCGGACGGATGCCCCACGTGACCCGTTTAATCATGTGTTATCCAAATATATGCAAAAACGAAACGGGGTAAATCCACGTTTTGACAGCCATACTGTCATTTCGAATTCATTCGAAAATTTGATTAGCGAACGGAATCAGCAGCAGCAGCAGACGCAAACGCCATTGCTTAGAATTGAGACCCCACCGTCCGCCTCCACGGAAATGTCCAGCGAATTGTCGAACAAGGTAGAACACAGAAATGGTAACGAGCACCGAGCAATGGAGAGTCTGTGTGAGAGAATGGCTTAGCGATGCGCGAAAGTTGACGTGAGCAAAAGAGTTAACTATGTAAACGGGCGTCCATTTAGCTAGCTAGAAAAGTACTTTGTAAACCTGCTGCGTTCATAAAACACGGAGCGGAAGATCGCAAATGGGGGTTAAAAAAAAAAAAAAAAAAAAAAAAAAAAAAAAAAAAAGAAGGCCAAAGAACAGAAAGATTTGACTGTAATGCTGCCGTTAGTGGCGTCAAAAAAAAGACGACGTTGACATCGATAACAGTAATAGAAACAATAACAAAGCACTGGAAAGAACTGTAGCAATGAGAAATGGAGAGAGAGAGAGTAAAGCGATTGAATAAAATATGGGCAGAAACAATAAAAGAAAGACAATGACAGATTGAAAAATATCGATGCGACGATGATGTCAACGGAAGCCAAGCGAAACTGGCACAACTGCGACAAATAAACGACAAGACGCGTATTGTCAAATGAAATTCGAGGGGTGCGTTTTATTGTATTCGTTCAGTCTCGTTGAATAGGTAGCTAAGAGCGGGTCATGCATGAGCAGTTTTGTTGACGCAGACGATATTTGACTTGAGCTGGTGTTGAAATAGTTGCTTAGCGGTCATTCGGTGTTTTTTTTCTGTCGCGGTTGCCATTGTAGCTGCAGAGTCGCCCGCCATTAAAATCAGTACCGATCTAAGGCCAGGTACAAAGGGATCTGGCGGATGCTGGTGCAGTTAGAAAACCTTAGATACGAAAGCCCGTGTTTGCTTATTAACTCATTAAACAAAAAGCTGCATAATGAATCGTCTTATTCACAAAAGATGTCATGTTAAAGTTGATAATTAGCTGGGCTAAGGTGGGCCGACGTCCTACATGTTTAGGTGCTTTGGATTCGAATTCGATCTGAAGTCAGGGCTAATTGACAAACCTGCACCCGTTCGCCTGTTCCGAGCTGCGCTATCAAGGTCATTGCACAATAGCTTAGGAAAAACCGCACGCGCCGAGAAAGAGCCTACAGCATTGTTGAATAATACGCGTATAGAGTATAATTAACTATATGTGTACTTTCCAATGTTTTAAAGTCATTGCTTATATTATTATGCGTTCACGAATTAGAACTTTCGCTAGTAATGCTAAACTTAACACTGGCTTGATAGACTAGTAAATACGCTGTCTAACAATAATTTACGCCAGCACCAGTCGTAAAAACTCGAGATGTTTATTTATAATAGTAGTTTCGACTTGTAACAAAAAGCCCGAATCAAGTTTTTTTTTTGTTCGTAAAGCTTGTTATACATTATTGCCGGTTAACGCCGGTTAACGCCGGTTAAACATTGATGTCTGGTGGCGTTAAACACGGGTTCCGTTCTGATGTATTCTGCCGCAGCCACCATCACGGTAGACTTCTGCTGTAGTTCGACAACATGAATCCAATATACTTATAATGCCATTGGATACATTTCAAGAGCATTTTGACGCGCGGTTAGCAAAAAAGGTTTCTGAGACCGGTCTGCCCAAGACATTCCAAACTGCCAAACGTCGACCAACTTCCTACGCAAACAGAAGTGTTCCAGGTCAGCAAGGAGCCGATACTAACATAGGGACCTCTGATTTGTTCTGTGCTTCAGTGGTTAATTGGCCCAATCCCCAAATGTTCTTCAGCTCAAATGACGTCCAAAGCGTCCTGCGTTAATCGAAGGGGCACAAAAGCCGCTTGAAGCACCACTCAAAAAAAAGTTACGTGTACATATACGAGACGCTTTCATGAAGCACTTTGTTTCTTTTACGTGCGTCAAGACATTGTATCTAGGGGGAAAAATGAAGATGGTATTTTGTTTTCTAGGCGATTCCGGCAATGTTCCTTGGTAAGTTATAATAAAAATAAATGGTTATTGAAAGCTTTTCATCTAATATCCATGCACTAAAGAAGGAGGTTAATTTTTAATAGACATACGTTGGAAAAGACAAATAAGCTAAACGACTTGTGTATGAAAATTTTAAGTGAAAATGTGGCTCGAAGGTGTATGAGACCAGAGATAGAATGGAAGCAACATGGAAAAATGACAGAATTAGCTTTAAACATTTATTCTTAATAGTTATTTTGGAAAAGCTATCGGCAAGTTCGTTAAAATTTCAATAGCACTATTTACGCTGAGCTGTTCGACGGGCCGCAGATGCAAAGCAATCATTACTCGTAGTTGCGTACTCCGTGGTGATAACTAGTAAGTAGACAGAAACTATTTTTGTTATCAAAAAAATAAAATAGTCTTATTTGTTTCCTGTGCATCTAATTTGTGTATGTTCAGTTTCATGAATATTCTTATTTTGCGCTCAACTAATCATGAAAATTCGTATTTCCTAATGACTTCCTGTTGTTTTGTGCTTCAGTTTCCATGTTAATGATACCCGGAATTTCCGAAAAAAAAAAACAATAAGTTTACTGAAGAAAAGCAAAAAAGACGAAGTTTTGACCTATATATAATTGGTGCGTACAGCCAAACAACTAGATAGTGTGAGAACGTATTGTTTGAATGTATCATTGATACATTTTCCTCGTATTTTCACGAAAAGGGAATTAGAAATGTTATATATAGACATTAACTATTATGTGAACAACGATACATTTCAGTTTCAAATAAACTACAGAAATTTTTTACATAATTTTTTGTATAATATATGATATTAAGATTGAAGCAAGAATTCTCAAGTCATGGCAACCTTTCGAGCACATTTTGCCGCTTGTACTGCCGCTGACTGATTATAGTTACTGGTTGAGTACGGTAATGTTTACATGTAACGTAGCCTCAATTCGGCTGTCATGCAATCACAGCTTTAGACATACTTGAAGGAACTAAACACAAGACAAGCGTGTCACGAAATTGTCCTGTAAGTAAACGAGTTGAATTATTAATTATTACTATCATTATCAAGTCAGTGTCGTTAGCAGGGCTTGAACTAGCGATGTGTTACCCACTTTACCCAGAAGCTTCACCGTGCAGCTCACTGCACTGAACATCATGACATGTTATATGCGATTTATATCCCAAACCTGTCTATGCTACTGGGATACTTAGCCAATTTGAAAAGTATCAGTACCGAGAGTTAACTACTTTTCCTTAACAAAATTGTTAGAAATTACGGTTTTCGAGTTGGCAGTAATAGATAGTAAATGGTACAAAAATGCTTCGTATTTTGTACACAATGTTATGTTTTTCAGACCTTTATATTTCAAAGTTTCTTCTTTGTAGCTATGTCATTATTCTAGATCCATATCTCCGATACGTTTTTTGTTTAGAGTGCCCGTTATTTTTAGCTGGTGTTTTGATTTAATGTCCGTATCTATGCCCGAGTGCTTCCTTATTGCTGATATTGCACAACCAAACATTGATACTCTTGGCCCCCGTTGGTAGAGACAAACATAAATGCGCCTCCGAGTAAGCTCAACGGATGTCTGTGTTGCCTTTGGTTGCAGCTGTCGCCGTGTTGAGACTACTCGACATTTTGAACCCGTCCTAGTTCACATGGGTGTGTCGACTTTCCGGTCGTTTCGTTCTCTATCTACCCGGCCGAGCATTGGCGTTGAGCCCTCGATCTCATTCAGCTATACCCGTACGATGTTTGCCTGTGGCGGACCATACGAAGACGACTGACAATGAGTTGCACCGACGCTGCTGATCATTAGCCCAGCGTTTCGTCACCAGAACCCCACAGTTAACTACAACCCCTCGCTGTTTCATATGGTAGTAATAGAAGTGTGTCCGCGTACAGCCTTTGTTGTTGTTGCAATCGTCTGCTAACTAACAGCAGCCGAGCAGAACTGCGCTGATTGGATACAGTGATGAACCCTTACGGCAGCAGCTCTCACTGGGCTCACTTTGTCGACTGCTATCCATCACGTGTAGGGAGACTGCACATATACACACGCGTACGGTTCAGCCAGAAACACAGACGAAAGGTGGCCGCCATATTGTTTTTTGTGAGCTTCCGTCAGCGCCTGCGCCGCTCTCAGTTCTCCGCTGTAAGAGCAGCCGTCGCTGCTCCGAGGTCCGTCCGCCTGTTTGTCCGTCTGTACAGCATTACACAGCAGTGAGTGACCAGACGGTAGAGAGGAGAGGAGAGGACGACAACGACGACGACGACGACGACGGCGAGAAAGAAGCCTCAAGCCGATCATTGGCTGGCTGCGACAGCAACAACAGCATGCACCTAACGACAGCAAAGTAGAGTCACAGCATCGACAGCATGGGACTCAACAACAGTAACGGCGGCGGCACCAGCAGCAGCAGCAGCTCGAAATAGTAGTAAGTCGTAAGACTCCGTCTAGCAGAAGAAGCTGTAGCAGTAATTGCCATGGATGGGCTAGAGGCTGTTGGTTGTCGCACGTTTGGTTGAACCGAACCCAGCCGACCGAACTGGGCCGAAAGAGTTGGGACCCCGCAGCCGTGACTCGTCATTGGCCAGAACTGATCAACGGTGTTAGTCGCAGTGGTGGCAGGAACGGCAGCAGCACGGACAGCTTCTGCTGTTGTTGGTGGCAGAAACCGTAGGCGAAAGTCGCGTGCAATTACGGCTGTCGCAGCAAATCTCTACGTTTGCTAGCGCCAGTTTGTCACATAGATGAACCACAGTATCGCTTACCGTCGATAACGACAATATCAGTTACTTTCGGCCAAAAACCAGCTAGGCGAAGAAAAAGTCGACCACCCAATCGGCTAACAACAGTCTCGCACACATAACAGCAAGTAATCGTCATGAATGTGTGGTGAGTGCCGTGGGTTTTTCTCGGGTTGTTTGTACCTGTCTGTTTCTCTGGTGTATATATCGCGGTGAGTGAATACCCCGTCAATAGTGGCGGTCGCAGCCGTAGCAGCACGGAACATCGAGGACCGTTGACGCGTGAGTAGAATAGCGAAGGAGTGACTCGTTTGCCCCGAAATCTTCATTTTTTTTGTTGACATCGTTGTCACATCCAGTTTTGTCATTTATGATGTTGTCGGTACTGCGTCGTTGATGGCCAATCGTGATCGGTGATTGGGTGATCGGCGAGCCGGGCCGTCAGTCGGTCGGTCGGTCGGTCGGTCGGTTAGTCGAGAAGATCAGGTTTGGTCTTCCAGTCAAGTTTGCCTCCCGGCGTTGCCCCGTGCGTCTTCGTCCACTATTGCCATTCCATGGTGACCGTGTAAAATTAGATGCTTGCTGATTTGTGCACAGTGGTCCGCGAAGGGCCTATTATTGGCCATCGTCGCGTAAAAGTGACGGTCAATGCTGAAGCAGGTAAAGCCGCTGCTGCTGTGGGAGGTGGAAACGGCGATACGCGATCGCGGTGAAAACGGTTGCTTACGTTGTGAACAGCAGTTTATCGCCAGAATTCGGATAGCGGCTACAAGAGATACAAATGCGACTACTATCAGTGCTACAGCCGCGACTTACACGAGTGCTAATTCATGTATTAGGGCGGCCCAATAGGTAGCAGCAGCTGAGGAAGTGCTCGTCATCGAAGCAGATCGGCAACTCGTACAACTTCCACTGTTCTCGATGGCTCAATACAGCGCTACCGATCTATCACTCTAGTGGTAGTGGTATCGGGTAATGGTTATAGAACAACGATAATAAGATTATTTCTATTACTAAACGACTGTGGGTTCGACAACAAATGGTAAAAAACAACTCAGCGCCGACGATTCGGTTGTTATTGCGGCAGTTTTACGGCGACATTGTCGATGTTGTTTGTATAGCGATTGGGTAAGAGAGGTGAAAAGTGTAGTATCAATTGGCCGACCATATATATTTGCCGACAGCAAGCAAGATCAATAATGGCGCACTAAAAACAAAGGATATCATTATAAATATCGGATATCGAAAACAGTGAGGAACACGGAACAAGAACAAAGAGTTAGGTGATCCAGTTAAAGGCTTATGATAACCAAAAATCGCCAGTTTAACTCTGCTACATAAGTAGTAATAGAAGAAGCACTATATTTAAGGAACGAAAGGTTTCGCTATTATTGTGGCAATCGACGCACTAACCTGAGCCAGTGGGTCTACACCCCCCCCCCCCCCCTGCAGTTTGTTGATCACTGTTGTTTTTCCAAGGATATAAGCTTGCCTTGCGTATCACAGGCATTAATTATCACTGGCGTGCCGCTCCATCATACGTCAACGACGACAACCTGCTTGTTGTTTTATCTACAAAACAGGGTCCGTTCATTCAGCGTCGTGAAGAGTGACAACGATCCAGTACACGACAATTTCAATTTGTGCTGTTTTAGTTAGTCTGGTAATCCATATCCCGTATATGTCTGTGCAAAACGTCTGCTGAATTTTCTCGGTTGCGTACAACTTACCAACGCACAGAACCTATCCAGCAAATAACAGTGCAAAACAACATCAGCTCGACCTTCTAGTCTGCCGCCGACTTCGTCTGTCTCTCTGTCTGTCCGTCCGTCTGCCTGGTAATCGTCACAAACGAGTGTAAACTACGACGACGAAGAACTTCACAGCTGTGACGATAATTAAGCTAGCATTAGCGCAACATTATAAAGGATAGGGTCAGTTAACGAGCGAGTTCTCTGTTATCGTGAGCGTGTGGCTGTCTGTGTGTGTGTGTGTGTGTGCGTGTGTGTGTGTGTGTGTGTGTGTGTGTGTGTGTGTGCGCGTGTCAGTAGTGTATAGGCGAAAGTGAGTGTGCGACCGGCTGTGTCTTTGCGAGGTCAGGTCCCGTATCTCGGGCGCAAAGGTGAATTAAAAGTGTTCGTGCCGCAGTGCTGGGGGTGCTAATGGACCCTGTGGTGTTCGTTAGAAGGCTGAGGACGCCGTGATGGCGGTGTGAGGCACGCAGGGAAACAGGAACGGCCCGCGGCCAAAGGCCAACGGTGCCGTAATCGAGGCTGCGTTGGCTGTCCGGGCGCTTCCAACTGGAAGTCACGGCTGGGCCGGGACAAATGTACTGTGGCTGACGCCTACGTACTACTCTGTAATGGTGACTAGTGCGTAGGCACAACTATCGCAAGCGTTACTAGTTTGCGCTGAAAACTGGAACCGAAGTTTTCTAGATTCCTAAAAAAGGTCTCCACCGGAATTTTCCGGCGGGATCGCCTGCGTCTGTATAATCTTTTCACTTGTGGAGTTCTTACACATGCGAGGTGTCTCTCTAGTCTATCTACGATTAGCAGTTGTTTCGGCGTTTGATTCTGGCCATAGTGAATGATTGTTGTTGGGTTCGTTACCGTAAACGTCAAACAAAAGCGAGCACTCTAGTTGTTGTCGTCCAGAGTAAACGCAGCATTCGTTAGAGGAGTATATCGCTGGAGCATTTGTCATGGAAGACGAGCAGAAGCAACTGCCCCCGGGGTTAACTGGTGGCCAAGAAGAGTGCGCACAGAGTCGGCCTCAGTATTCGATACCGGGCATTTTGCACTTCATACAACATGAATGGGGACGATTTGAACTCGAGCGCGCGCAGTGGGAAGTTGAACGGACCGAACTTCAGGTGAGTCATAGATCTCCTTAGGTTTTAAATGGATCAAACAAGTAGAAATTTCGTTATTGGCTCCCCGAAACCAAGGAGATTTGTGCGATTGTTACTAGGTGATCTGCGCTTTGTCATCGCCGCTACTACTCAGTAAAAGCTTCTTCCTTGCCTTTTTTTGTTGCTTTTTAGAATACTTAATTTGCTTAATTATTACCCATTGCTTAGATTCTCCTCTTACCTTTATAGAAATGAACATGATAAAACTAATCGACTCAGAGGTTGCGTGTCACAACAAAGCTAAATAGTATTTCCGGTGAAGTAATGCATTTGCGTTATCGTAATGTCACCGAAACCAACTGACAGCGACTGCATAAGCCGATGCCACTCGATGTTTAACTACCTGAGTAGATGTAGTGAAGCCCATGGGATTAGCTTGTAGACATTTGAAGGTTTAAAAAAAAATATGAATAAATCGAGCTAAGGATTTTCGCGTTTTGTTACAGAGTTTTACGTGTTTACCAGTAGATAAGGGTAGACGATAGGGCCCAACATGTTGTAAACAAGATTGCTTCAGCAATATCATATAGGTACATCGGAAATGGGCCATGATGAATCCGCATAGTGCAGAAAATCTTCAGATTTAATATTTTTCTAGATTTCGTATTTATTTATTTATCACTTACTGGACATTTTACTGGACTAATAGATTTATAGCTAAAGCTGGAAGTTCTTCTTGGCACCTATCTTCATAATCCTATACTGTTTGAAAATTGTTCTTAACTTTACGTGGTACACTTGCCGTCTGTGCTCCTACTTGGAACAACTGTTTTCCTTTTGCATACAGTATGATCTGTTGTTGCGTTCTGGCTTACTTTAGCGGCTCGGCAAACGCAGATACAAACACACAGTCTTATAGACCGCTTCATAGGCGCTTCTACACCCAAAATATCCCGGGACTAGAGCCACTAATCGGAACTAGACCTATACGCTATAATAAAGCTGCCGAATTCAGAAGCAGCAGGATTTTCTTGGTGCGACTGGTTTCGTCGCACTCGACGCTGGTTGTAAATGCGCTCTCCCGAGCTGTTGGAAGTTGCAAGGTAATTACTAATCATGAAGCTCCTACTAGGAGAACAGCTTAACGGTTTGTAGACGTAGCTGGTTTGACGACACTCAGCAACCCGATACGTAGCTTTCATTAGACAGCGCTTCCGTGAGCAAAACCAGCTACTAGATACAGGCCACAGATCCCTTGTAACTATCGTTGAGTAAAATCGGCCTAGCGTGTTTCCCATTTCTAGTCCATCAGTTATCAAGGTATCGACTTCTATACTGCAGTCAATTGCACCGAGTCTGTAGCGAAACACATTTTACAACATCATGTACGATCAAATTATATAACATTTGTTCACATTTGAAGGTAGAACTTTGACAACACGATTTGTGAAAACAAAAAAAAAAAAAAAAAAAATATCGATAGTGATCGTTAGTTGATATGTTGCCCGAGCTGCAGCAGTCATCGGATTATGCGTTTGAAAGACCTAATCGTGTTAGATTTAATAGAATTATGACACATAGTGCAGGACCTTAAAAGTAGCCTATCGATTTTATTATGACAACGTAGGCTCGACAACGTAGACAATTACTAACCTGTCACCGCGTTATCGAATTTATGTAGGCATATAATTTCAATGTTTATTTTGTTTATCTTTTTACCCTGCTATATGCTAGTACGATCATTCGTACTGGTAAACGCTTAGCTACTATGTACTGACTGTAAACTGGTTGAACAAAGCTGGACTTTATGTATTTAATATTAGTCAGTATTGAATGGGTTAGGTATTCTATAGAGCTCGCTAGCTATTTAAAAATGATGCTCGTTGTGATAGATAGAACGAATCTCTAATTACAGCCAATTTGTATTGTAGGAAAAAAGAGTAACTAAGAAACCCACTTAGGTATTGTATGTAAATTAATTACGGGCCGCACATCTTGGGATGGTTAAGGTTTGTTTTTTTACAGGCAAATTCTATTTTACGAGGTTTTATAGCTTACTTGTCGCCGCTACAGAGGCCTACGGAGGTATCATATCAATGGATCATGTATTCCAATTGATCATATTATTAGACAATTCTTAGTCACTAGATAAGCATATAACAGATATAATGATATTTGTGCACATATACCAAATATGAGTTTATGATGAGTGAAAAAGTTTCACAAACAACCTCACGATATCAATTTCGAGAAAGAAAGAGAATGTACCTGGGCCATATATCCTGCCACATGGTGTCTTTCGCCGGACTACCCTCCTTTTACGATTTTTCCCACAGTTCTAGTTGAAATCATTGAAGCCCGATGTGGCGATACAGCGCATCGTTAATACAAATCTCGTGGTGGTTTAGATGATCTAGTGTTTTTCGCCCCATTGTTCTAGCGCTGAAAAAATCAACATCGATATCCGTTATTGGTTGCCGTAATTTTTTGTGAAGGCAAGAGCAAAATTAAAAAGCACTCGGGGTTCTCCGGTGAGGGGCTAACAAGATAATACGTGAGTCTGTTTCGTGCTTAGTGGTGGAATCCCAAGTACGCCTTCAGCCGGCTTAGCTGGTCTGCTACTGGAGCACTTCTTCATGCCGGAGAAGATGCGAAGCATTTGAGATGGACTAGCGTTGCGGATACTTAACGGTAGCTCTCATTGTCAGTACCCTCCTGCACCCTTCATTTGTGTGCGATGTGAAGCTACGGCCGTTGTACAGTATGAGCAAATCCTAGAATGGGAATTTCTGTATTATAGGGGCCTGCCCGGTATGACTGGGGTATCTTAAACCGGCGCCCTGCCCCTCTGTGTGAGTTTCATCCTTTACAACCTTGTAAGGTTCACCGTCAAGCTGAACTCCATAGTGGCTTGTGTAGACCAGCGATAGTTGACTATATCATCAATCTGGTTTTTCTATAAATGACGAAGATGAAGGAGCAAGGTTTATCAAGGGTACCCCCTTGACAAGGGTAACCAAGCAAGAGGAACAAGGGTAAACCCCTTGAAAATAAAACGGAACCAAGAGGAATTAGATTGTCTTCTTCTGTCAGTCCTTTTGTTTGAGAGAACGGTAGCCACTCAACTTCATCATTGATCATGACTTTGTTTTCCTATCGAACTGAGCAGGTTTGTGGAGATTCCCATTTTTACGAAGGTTGTTAATAGTGCATCCTTAAGCACGATACGTTGCTTGGAAATTTACAGATACAGCATATTTGAACCTACCCAGAACCGCAGTGGGTTGCTTAACATCCTCCAGGGTAATAATACTTATTTGTTGAGCGTTCGTCCCTAAACTACATATTGCCTTGGGAAGCTCACAATTGATTGTATCGCATCCACATAACTAAGAACACTAACCTATATCTATTTATATAATATATAAGGGTTGCTATCGAACTCGAGATTTAATTCTTACTCTTCGAAGAAGGGTCAGCATTAAATTTTTGAAAATACAACTTACAGTTGAGTGACGAGCAATTTTCTTTATGAGGCTGTCACTAACACATTTCTATTTTTCCGAAATAAAAAGCAAATATAAAACAATTACAGTCTGCGTTAAGATTAATGTGCCTAAAGATATATTGATACTTTCTTAAGAATTCGCGAAACAATTGCTGGTAGAACCACGTATATTTCAGTGTTTTTTTCGTATTGTACTTCACATTAGCAACACTTCACAAAAATCAAACCTGGTTAGTTTATTAGCAAATATACACAACACCTTAATGACGCGCTGATAATGATGAAGGTAGGTAATACAGTTTACTTGAGAGATCCAGATTAAGAAAAACGTACATTTGAACAGTCCGTGATTATCATTACACAGTCTGTGAAAAAATCACTTCTTTACTTCCTGCTGATTAACCTTCGATAGCCCTTAACCAGAGATCATGATTTGGATGATGTACCGTCGTAACGAAAAACTAAACCTTTGAAAGTTGTTGAACAGAGCTTATATTTAAAACTAACACGTGTTCGCTGCTCATTCGAATTTGCAGACACGCATCGCGTTTCTTCAGGGGGAACGTAAAGGGCAGGAGTGTCTCAAAAATGACCTCGTGCGGAGGATAAAAATGCTGGAGTACGCCCTTCGACAGGAACGGTAAGCCAGAAGTAGATGGTCTTCGAAGGATATATATATATATATAGAGAGAGAACGAGGAAATTACAAATCCATTTATTGCGAAATTACAGAGATTAGGAATCACTATTGGTCACCAGCCATCATCACGAAAAATAAATGAACTTTGGACTGCTATGGTGATTAAGTATTTATAGAATTTAAATTACATGTCTGGACAAAGGAAGCAGACCTGTGGCTGGGATCAGATATTCACGAACGACACATAAACGCTACATACCTTAGCTGAACAAAGAAAATAAATGGCATAAATTCTATGTCGCGCTCAAAATACTTGCCGAAGCCAAATATGTTTTTCAGTCTTTCCGATGTACAATGTGAGCTCTACGAACATGTGGCCAATCGAATTCACCATTGGCTTCTCTCAGCATGGCTTCCCGTACCTTAGCATGTACGATGTTATTTATGCAGCATGCGCCGTTATACACGTCGATATTGTAGGGGGTAAGGGTTCGGTGGTGTATCCTACAACGGCTTGCCTACTCACTGCATTAGTCAACACTAGTTAAACATGGTTTACCATAAACAGGTTGCTGTCTTGCTGACGTCGACATCGATCAGCGGCGGATAGGAGGGAACTATGCAGTAAATGCGTGGCACAATAAACTTCATATAAAGAGGTGGAAATGATTCATTTGCCGCCAACCCGCTTTTCAAATTGGTCTTGGCACTGGCGAACGGAGCTAATGGAACGATTACCGGCATTTTGCCTATTTTGGCAATGACAGATGCAGAATCTGTCACACACATCTTGCAAGGCCGGACTGACACATCTTTTACCTTGGTAATGGTTTACCCAGACTACAGTTCGTAGCGCCCATACAAAAATAGCGACAATAGCGATAAGAATGACTGTGAACAAAAAGTGATTTCATTGAGGGCAATGAGTCGAAATTTCATAAAAGAATGTTTAAAATCAAAGTCAAGAGGCTGTCAAGCATCAGGTTTATGGGAGTGTTAAGTGAAGAAGAGTTCTGAGCTTATTGTTACCGTTCAATGCCATTTTAGCAAAATCGCACCTTCAACTTGAGGAGTAAAGGGCAAAACAGGAAATTTGTTGCACAACCACAAGTCACTGCAAATTAGTTAGTTCGTCGGTGCTTTCTTTATTCGGAAGACGTTTGAACAAGGTAGCGTTTTTTTAAAAAACCTTTTTATGATCTGTGGTACTTCGTGCTGTTTAGCAAGGACTTGCTAAAATCCTGGTAATAGTCAATAATATAACTAATAAGATTATCTGTATGAAATCGCTCGTGTGATGATAATTTTGCCGAAGAATTAATCTTCCCTCACCTAGAATAAATGTTGCAGTTTTTAAGATTATTACTTTTTTATCCATATGGGCCATATAATTACGTGACATTATTGTAGTGTTATGCGATGATAACTTGCTAAAGGATGTTCCCGCAACCTATTGTTTTCAAATGCCGTAAAGTAGCGTCTATTTGAACAACTTCAGGGAAAAAAGGGCGTAAGTGTCATAGACCTCGTGAGGTCTTGTCATGCAAGCCTCACTAGTTTGTAGCATAACTAGCACAAAATTGCGCAGCTTCCTCATTTTCACCAGATTGCCTCATAAAAACTAATCTGTTCAAAAAACCTATAAGATCGTTGTGTTCGCTACAGATATGCATAGGTTGGTTCCACGCCTTAGGTCGGCGCTCACAATGATTCTAGAGAAATCAAAACTATTTGATATTTAGTGTTCTTACAGAAAGCTCGATTTTTTTTTATTCTTCCAACGAAGCCTGCCTGAATTGCTAAAATTCACCTTTTTCACATAATCAGGAGAACTAGCTTCGAGTTTTTAGACAACTATTATTTTGCATAAACCATTATTTTTAATGTCTTAACAACACAACTTAGTTATATTATGTAATTGTTTTACATGCGATAAAAAAAATACGTGACGGCGTTGAAGCTCGTGAACGATTATGACCAAACCGGTCAGAACTTATTAATAAGAAGCTTCTAATTGGTGAAACTGGTAAACTCAACCGTTTTGCTTACCAATAGTCCTAAATTTAGCATCATTCGTCATGAACGGCATATATTTATACGTTCGATGTCTATAGCCCATAGCAAGAATCTGCTAGATCATCACAGCGCGATACCGAGGCATAAGGCGCGCACTGACCTGTGTCCTATTGAGAGAGGAAATCGGTCGAGTTGATTTTCGACAAAAAAGAGCTCTGCCTCTCGCGCATCAGTTCACTTCTCTTCTAGCATAAGCTAATTGATGTTTGGCGGACATCGAGCACTTAGAGCTGCCTGCATACGTATGAACCCCTACTGCCTATCGTTTCATTCATTTCAACTATACAGACCGCAGTAAAGAAAAGTAACTTCTGTTTAACACGTCGGTAGTTGCTCAGTCATCTTGTGCTGGGAAATTCGAGGTCGCTGCTAATAGGAATTACTGACTAGTTCACTTCATGACCCAGCAACAATTTGCTTGCCTAGTAAACTTCACACACATGGGATGATCTAGAATTGAGACTATTTAATCAATTAAATGTTGTGTTTGCATGCACTACCGAATGTATCGCGACTGTTTTTTGTGGCTTTTCTATCTAGGGTTCAAGCGCCTAAGTCGTTCTTTCCTCGCTGCCTGTCGGATCGCTTTCAGTGATTCTTAACACAATCCATTAAATATATCATTGAAGCTTAGTCGTAGGCGAAAGCAGGCTTTGCGTTAGAAACTCTCGAAACTGCTTAGATCTCTGAGAGAGTTTTTTGTCCAAAGTCGCTTCGATCAGTTCAGTCAAAATCAACGTATTGACGTGACGGCTAAGAAACCGTTTCGTGGTACCACATTGTCGACAACGTAACACTCGACTTTTACGTACGCTACCGGTTCCATATCTATTGACCTAATTGGTACCAAAGAACACAAAAAACGTATCCAGTATCTCGGACAACGGATACCTAACCCGATAGTCGTATAACTCCGATTTCTAAATGGAATAAAAAGCAACACAATTGATTTCGTTTTGAATTTATTGACATCCAATCCATTGAACGTATTGGATAAATAGAACCTTACGGCAACAAGTACCCTACGAAAAATAGCCGATTTCTGCCAATCCAGCCACGGGGCATTTCTTCCATGTCACAATGAAAGCCGACTAAACTTTCTGAGTTCGCTGTTTGCTTTCAAGGGACCTGTTCCAGCTTGAACGCTTTCATTACTTAACGATATATACATTTATGACGCTGCCAAGACGACCCCGCGGAGATTTGCTACGAATGTTGCGCATAGCTTACTCGTGTTATTTTTAACAGTTCGCTGTGTTATTACTGTCACCATAGTCGTTCATTGACTGCTTGGCAATATTGACTCATTGATTTATGGTTTTTTACCACTCTAATAATGAAACATTTAAAGCATCTTTGTTAATGTTTTCGAGTTGTTGTTTTCCTTTATGTCGAATTGCACGAGGGAGCTGTCTTTCAATTCCGAATTAAGTTATCTATTATAACCTGTATTACAATGCAATACCTGTTATTTATTTCAGGATAAGCATATCGCTATTATGTTCTAACAATTCAATACTTATAGGTCGCCACAACTGACGGTTACAAAAACTGAGTGATCATTATTGTGGCCTCGATTCACTCATAGCCACTAGTGGCATTTGGGCAGGCATTGTGGTTAAAACAGAATAATTTCTGGTTCCGCTAAGGGTTGTTACTGGATGATACAGGAAATACCTTCTCGGTTGGTATAAAAGGACAAATTGATGGGCCTGTTTCCAGTGTATTACTAATGTAAACACGCGAAAGAGAGTCACTTCAATGTCTGAAAACTCTACTAGATAGCTGGCAGCGCCATCTCGTTGCGACGGGCTTCGAAAGCTTTTGATGTTACTGTATTTATTATTTGCATATAAAGCAATATTTATTTAAAAACGAAAATGGCTGCATTGCTTGTACTTTCCATACTGTTCGTCCAGTTGTTTATTCTAACTTTCTTCTCAATTGCAATCAACGCAAGGCTGTAATGTCAAAACCTAGTTATATCTATCGAAACTCGAATGTATGTATTAGTATTTGCCTTAGAACAGGTGTCGCAGATCTGACGTGTATCAAACGGCGTGCAACGCAACACTGATTATGTATGGACGTTTGAATCGGTCAATTAAAAAATGATGTCTTTTTACTCGCCTTTTGTTTATGCTTTTTTGGTGTTTATTGTTTAATTATTTATCTTGAGCTTCAGCGCGTCTTGGTGTAATCTTACTTAGCAGTTTCTTCTAGTCTGTGAATTTGCGTAAGCGTGTATTTGCTGTTGCCGAAATTAGTAATAAATAGAATAATGAAACAAGGTCTTCTAGTATAACTTGTTCAGCACAATGTGGTACATCAATAATGGTTCCAAAAAAATCTTCTTGTCTAGAGGTACTTACTGAATCAAAAAAAAAGTACAATGTGTTAATGCGCTGATATGGACGCCAGGAAAGCTTGTCACTACAAAGCCTCAAATAGCGTTGGATGAGTCCTCGACGGAGCGTTTCAGTCGCCTGAAATATGAAGCTGCCATTAAGAAATTGCCCCTTAATATACGGGTCATGCACCAATGCTTAAAAGCAGGCTTTTTCAAAGTCGAACATATACGACTAGGTAGATACTTCAGCTGAAATAGAAAGCCAAATATATATATATATATATATATCAGCAGAGAGAAAAAACAAAGGTGGCAGCCAAACTCTATTGTGTCCTCTATATTATGTTCGTATTCTGTATTTTCGCCTCTCTTTTTTTAATGCCAATAATACCTTTACACTAATGGGAAACCCCTTTGACCTTTCGTACGACGACGTCGTTTTGCTCGTTTACGGCAATCCCTATCCATTCCTAATAGAAAGACTCTGCGGCTTGGCGAAGCATTCGTCCCACAGGCCTACCCATAGAGCATACAGTAATTCAAGTAAAGTTCACCAAAGCAGAGACATCTTCGTTGTTTTAAAGCTGGGGCCGTCCCTCCATGGGACGTGGACCCATCCACATATTAGAACAGTGGCGCGTACCCGGCTGCTGCTACTGCTGCTGCTGAACGATCAGTACCTTTCTCCACGCGATTCAACGGTCTGATTGCACTCGCAGTGGAACGATAGCAGCTGCTCAGAGGCTGCAACAAAGTGCAGATGAACACTAGACTATTATTCGGGCTGCCGCTAGCACCATTACAAGAGCAGCTACTGCTGCTTAACTGGGTCCAGCATTGACATAAGAATACGCGGTGTGGTGATACGCAGCGACAAAAACGAAAAGGAAAACAAAAAGACAGAGAAAAAAATTAGCATTTTTTTGTAATACGTTACGATTAGTTGTTCAGAGTGTAACGTTCTTTGTATTGCTTTTTTTTTTTTTTTATAACTAATTGTTAGCTTACCGGTATTTTTACTCACGAGTACCGTTATGTCAAGGACGTGTGAGGCTAAAAATAGGCTAAATATTAATTATCTGGGAGATCCTACGAAGAAATGACTAAATTTATCTCCTATTGGTATTGGGGTTTTCGTTAAAACGAAAATATGTGTACGGCTGGTTTCGAATTTAGACCACCTCCATGTCCCTTTTCCGAAATACATCATCGAAGAGTCGTATGCGAGTTCACCATAGGTTGGTTGCGGGAGTATAATACTAATGTATAGTGATGACTCCAATAATTACGCGTAGAAATTGGAAGTATTTAGACGTAAATTATAGCGGCAGGTTCATTTGCGGTTTCACTTGTGATGAGTTTCGTCTATACTCGTTGTGGTAGTGACTGTGGCGAAGCTATGTAACATTTAAGGCGACGCTAATCTGCGACACTACGCGTACAGATCATTAACGAAAAAAGAAAATCTATTTGTGATCATTGTTTGCGTTAGTCAACGTGTTTTAATAGAAATTCAACCAAGAAATAGCGATAAATATTCGTGAAAAGAACCATAAACGGTACCAATGATCGTTTGGAAACACTTTTAGCCAGCTTAATGGTTACTCATTTGTATAAATCAGTCGCAGATGTCGTTGATAAAGGGATCGTACAAATCCGAAAGGTTTTCTACCTGATGAAAAATGGAGAAAGGTAGAACAAAAGCCTGTTTGTGTCCAAGTAATTCTGGTGTATAGGAAACAACGTAATCGACGATTCATGTCCGGGTGTCGTAGTTTATTGTGTGGGTTGCATGAAACACTATAGGTTTGTATCTCGACTTATAAATATCCACCTCTGGAAGAAAGGCCTTGAAAAAGCATTTTGTTTTATACCAGTGTCTGTTACGCATCTGTCCTTTAGGTAAAGAATCATAAATCTGGGCATTGTCTGGTTTATTGAACTCAGAGATGGTTTCTTTTGTTGTATTGTACAATCCAAGTCTTCTGCTCGTGAAAACTAAAATGAGAGGCTGGCATAAATAGCCTTGAAGTATTCTTGGATCCACAAGCTAGTGCACCTCTTCATTAAAGAAAATCTCAGATTAGTCGACGTCAGTCATAATTTTCGATATTGAAACATGCTTTTCAATAAAAACGGAATTGAGATCAACGTCTCAGCTTTAGATATTTACCATTAAACAGATATTACAAACAAAGATATGTACGACATCATATTTAAAATGGAAAGTGTCGCATTTTAACATCCTACTTTTCTTTTTTGTTTGGTGTTGCTGTCTTTCGATGTAGGGCGCGAGTCGAAAAACTTCGGCAAGGAGGTGGCGCCGGAAACGACCCAGTTGACGAGGAAAAGCCACCGCAGTTTGATATTGATGATTCGGCAACGGAATTGTTCGGAAGTAGCGGAGGAACTGGCCCGGGGCCACAGCTCACGTGGAAACAGGGCCGTGAACTTCTTCGTCAGTACCTTCAAGAAATTGGCTTTACGGACACGATGCTCGATGTTCGAAGCGCCCGTGTGCAAACACTACTTGGTCTACAGGTTGGATGATTGGTTTTGTGAAAAATCACATTCGAAGATTAATGAACATTCCAAAACTATAACAACTTGCCAACAACAGTCCAAGCGATGATTTGTAGGTTATTCGAGGTTTGTCTTTTAATAATATTCTTTTAGTAATTTTTGGGCCTAAAAAAAGATTTGTTCCTTATTCTCTGCGAAGTGTGTAATGTTTACAAGCAACTTACTCAAACCTTTGCAATAACACCGACAATATCAATTTTATTTAAAAAGATGTCAGCAATAGCTAACTGCTGAAGTTACAATAAACCACTCCACGTTACTCCATGCAATTACTTACTCTTGAATTCAATTCAAAGTGCCTTGCCATAGATGAATTGTTCTGTTGCATTCTAAGCCTGAACCTGCTGGCACAAGGCCAACGGCCTTCGAAGAGGACGCTGTTTGCCGGTTGCGCTGTTGCTCGATAGTTTATCAGGTATCATTTCCTTCGCTATTACCTGTTCTGCTGACCATTACTGCCACAAGTGGACAGCTAGCTTCCCGTTACATCTATGAATTTGGCTGGAGGCCGATTCCGCATTGTTGGCGTCTATGGTCGAGTATCTGTCCACACCTTAGTCACACTTTTTTGTAATAATGTGGCCGTCATCTAACTCGCTGGTCAACTGAGCAGAGAATCTATATTTAGTCAATCTCGTCCAGTCGATGTAGTCCGGCAAGGTAAATCTTAAGTCACTTTAGGTAAAGCCGAACCTATAACTGGTTAACGAATAGTCGGTGTGTCTGGCCACGGCAAAGGGTTCGGCAAAAAGAACTCGCCCAACCACGGCAAAGGGTTCGGCAAAAAGAGCTCGTCCGCGTTATCTGTTGATCAGCGGCGTGTCTCTGACTGTGACGCGTTGTCACGCGTCCGAAAGGTATGACAGGGCTGAATTTGAATTATAACGTACAAAATTAGGTGGCGTACGTGAAGGCTGCGCGGGGGATGTAGGTTGTTTTCTCATTCTTGGGGAGGGGTCCGTTAGCAAATATCATAACAAATGTTAAACATAAAATTATGATAACAAAAACAATGGGTTAACAAAATACATTTTCCGATAACCAGCAATTCACCCATTTGTTTACCTACTTCGATACGGTATCAACCAATACAATCCTTATCAATTTGCTTAATCAAATAAATATCATACTTCTTACGGCGAAAGTTACCAGTTATTCGAGTAGCACCCCGTATTATTAAAGCCAGTCGGTAGCATTAATAAACATAATACTATGGTTAACTCTTTCGTCTTTGTTCGTCCGAGTACAAACGCTGCTTATTTTTATCTACTTAATTTCTACTATGTCTGTCATGTTTCTAATGTCTTGATAGAGCTCAAACTCAACTGGCGAAGGAGGTACAACAGCCGCCGGCGCAGGAGCAGTCAATGGGGGTGCCGGAGCAGCTGGAACCGGAGCAATGAATACGCAGCGGCGTGCTGCGGGGGGGGTCCGCAAGGACGTCAAGGTGAACGTGCTACGAGATGCTGAAGCGTCGGTGCTCGCCACCTTTGACTTCCTTGCTGCCGAAGGTACTCCTGGTTCTGACGGAGCAGATGACGATGAGGATGATGACGTCGTGATGGGTGCTCCCAGCGTAGACGAAATGCGCCCACCCTGTACACAAGACCCGGAAGGTACGTAACAACGTAACAGAGAGCTCAAACATAAGCTCCTACGAAATTTAAAATGCTAATGAATTCAAATATTGACCTATACGCATCCGCCTAGTTACTCAGAATATACACAATTAATCAGTAATCGAAATAATATCATAATGCTGCCGGTTTCAGCAGCAGTAGGTAATGAGGCAGTCTGTCTATCTCTCGTTTTTTTTAACTGCATTTAATTCTGTTTGTTTGCCGGATCTGAATTGGAGGGTCACATTATTATGCTTCCACTAAACAAGAGAAAGTGTGCCAATCTTTAGGCTCGTAAAATCTCATAAATGCTTACAAACGACGTCAAAAACATATAAAGATAATTTAAGTAAAAGTAGAGTAATACTGATAACAAAGACTTACATTTTACAGATCACTATTGCTGTCCTTTCCATGTGTGTAGACTTAGCTATTGGTTTAACGTATCTGCGTACTTGAATAAATATTGAATATTGAACCCTTAATAAAACATACTATAAAGTAAAATCCCGTACTAAGAACGATATGAATAATAAATCTGTTTTTTTGCAGGAACCCTAGGCCTGGGTGAACTGGCAGGACTGACCGTAAATAACGAATTCGAGCCCCAGTCTAAGGACCTTCCCAAGAAATGGAATGCTAAATACACGTTACGGAGCCATTTTGATGGCGTTCGAACACTAGCGTTCCACCCTATCGAGCCGGTTTTATTGACAGGCTCCGAGGACCACACGCTCAAGCTATGGAATCTGCAAAAAACAGTCCCAGCCAAAAAAACAGCCGCTCTTGACGTGGAACCACTATACACGTTCCGTGGCCATACCGGCCCAGTTCTGTCACTCGTAATGGGGCCTCTGGGCGACCGATGCTTTTCGGGTTCGCTTGACTCGACCGTTCGCGTCTGGAATTTGCCGAACTGTAACGTCGATCCATATGACGCGTATGACCCGAACGTTCTTGCACACACGCTAGCAGGTCATACGGACGCTGTTTGGGGTCTGGCAGTACAAGGCGCTGCTGGCAGTGCGAAGCAACCTCAGCTGTTGTCGTGCTCAGCCGATAGTACAGTTCGACTTTGGAGCATAGGTGATATGATTGCGCCGTTGGAGACATTCACGTTCGAATCAGCCATACCAACATCTGTCGACTTTGTCCGATCGGGTGCCGGCCAGCAGGCTGTTATAGGATATATGAACGCTGACCTTATGGCGATCGATCTTGAAACGGGCAAGCCAGTAACTCGCTTTGAAACCGCCGGTTGTAGTCAAATCAATCGGGTAGTCTCGCATCCGACTTTAGGTATTACGGTCACTGGACACGAAGATCGCTGCATTCGATTCTTCGATGATGCCACAGGCAAGCTTATCCATTCGATGGTCGCTCATCTTGATGCAGTCACGTCTATATCAATTGACCCCAATGGGCTGTACCTGCTATCGGCGAGTCATGACTGTTCTATTCGTTTGTGGCATCTCGACAACAAGACGTGCGTACAGGAGGTAACGAGTCACCGCAAGAAATTCGACGAGGCTGTTAACGACGTCGCATTCCATCCAAGCAAAGCTTACATCGCTTCTGCTGGAGCTGACTCCATCGTAAAGGTGTTCGTCTAGGAGTTGCTACCGGAAGGGAAACTGCGTCCGTCAACGATCCTATAATGCCATTAATAACAAATGATATAGGAGAAAGATGAGATTAACAGAGGCAATTATAGATTCTATAGAATTCCAAATTACTTTTCCATATATAGCGAATGCGCACGATCGGATAATCAGGTGTGTGGAAGTTCTTCGTCTGGTCAGAAATGTATGACAAAAGTACGCCTCGGCCTGAGACAAAAACTAGAATTGACTAGCCCTCTCCTTGTGCCCCGCTCCCATAGCCACTGCTCTGAACAGGAACACGCCAGCTACGCAAAAGAGATAGGATGAAAGATTTAGCAAGTTATTGTTAGTAGCTTGGAGAACCAACCCAAGTGTCTACAATCGTGAATAAAACAACTTCCGTCTCTCGAGCAAAAAAGTAAAAGGATTTGAGGAGCGCACTACCTGTACAGCTGGTGCCGCAGCCTTGTCCTACGCAACGTTACTAGCGCGGAGTAGACGACAATCGTCGTCGATATTTACCTGCTTCCGTTTTTAACTAACAAACAACAAATTTTGAAACAAACATTAAAAACATACCTAAATCTACAAAATAAACCTCCCTAAATGCCCCATATATACGTAGGCATACAAACATGTCACAAAAGGGCTCTGGGCAGGTGGCAAGGACAGCGAGCAGAATAGTTACGAATGGTAGCCTTATAAATAACAATAATAACAACAACAACAATAATAAGAACAATATAAACCAAGAAGTCAATGACTCGTTTGTAGCAGTCATATCGATAGTGGGTGACGACTACAAAATATATATATATATATATATATATATAGGTAAGGAAGTGAAAGACGAGAAAGCGAAAACACGTAAGTTTAATGACGATACACACAACAAGAAATAGATAAAAAGAAAGAAATAATAATGATATTAATAATAAGACTAAAAATAAGAAGATCCCTGTGAAGTAACGAGTTGTGTGTGTGTGTGTGTGTTGTATGTAAAGTATTCGCGCACAGTATTGTCGCAAGATATGATATGTGAGGGGGGTAGGTGGCAGATAAAAGAAACATGATGAAGGGACGATATCTGTGCGTGGAGAGGGCTTTGGTAGGAAGATGGCAAATGGTCTATGAGAAGCAATTGTGTCTGATAAGCTAATGTAGCGGTGCTGAAGGTTGAAAAAGCAATATCCTGATAGCTCATGTGTGGTTGGCGGTACCGCAGATATCCGCAATACGGAAGCACCGGGGAGGTCGCAGACCAATCGCGTAAGCCAGCCCTAAGATTGGCTGAGGAATATGTATCGGGTCGTGAGGTACCCAGACGGCGACTGGAAATAGCCGGGTCTCTCATGCACTAGTGGTATCAATGCACGTATGATTCACTTTTTAGGCAGAAATACACGGCATCAAATAGGCAGAAAAATTAACATGCAACAATATAAACAATAATAAAGATGTAAGCAAAAGTCAGCAACAAACATGGACATGGATTGTAGATTAATATACAGACGAATATAGACGATAATAATTAGCACAGAAAACAACGGTACATTACAGGCAAGGAGCGGGCAGAGCATTATTACAATTATTGCTACAAATATTACAATCTCTAGGATTATTTATGACAGATAAACCAGCTATAATACAATATAACGAACATTTTTTTTCTACTTATATATCATGTAGAAAACCGTAGCAGACGACAGAACGAGAGAAGAAGAGAAATTATAAACAACAGCAAATGAAGAATTTACAAAGCAGACCAAAAAAATGAAAAGCCAAGTTTTCGCGCGGAGGTGTGATAATAGAGACGGAATTGATGATGGCAGTAGATAACAAAAGCGGGTTCAGCGGTCGTAAAAAACGATATGTGTGCGCAGTTGTAAGTAAGCACCCGTATCGCATGAATAATGCTCTTTGTATATGCGTCCGTAAATATATGGGCTATTATCTGATATCTGGCTCTTGACATAGAAAAAAAACACAGACACGCCGCACGCGGCTGATGGGCCGGCCGATCCGTCGATTGATAATCGTTGATAACTGACGAACCAAGCTGCTAATGAGTGTAACTGATCCATGAGATCTATTGGGAACAATAGAGAAGACGGTAAGCATGGCGGCTGCTTGAATGACTTCTGGCGTGTGTCGTTTTCAGCTCGAAAACAGGTCTAGCAGGTTAAGGAATAAACGGATGGTTGATGGAAATAATAAACAAAAAAAAAACTTATAGATAGGAAAAACAATACAAAAACGGTTTATAAATTATAGAAGTTCATATAAGCAGACAAAAAAAGCAAACAAAACTGTACCTGTTGACATCCTGCGGCTCGCTTCAATGCGCCTTTTAAGCCCCACGGCATTTTAAACCACTTCGTTCGGGGATGAGGGCTTGTCAAAACGTCAGCCAGTTATCCCACATTGTCGTTACTAATCATTTGAACAAAATAGATATTTGCAGCGCCTCAGATAAGTGCGTAACTGTGTAAACAGAGTTAAGGAATGTAGACGATACATTATTATGCAATAATTTATGAAGGACACTTGATTAGACTCATATTACTCTCCCACTAACATTGTTGCTTTCATGTCACCTTATTTTAGATAGGAAGATATGCTTCACTGTGTTTTTACTGGCAACGAAGACGACAACTGCAATTTGTATTCTTACAATATATAATACCTGAGCAAGATGAATATCTCGTTAAGGATAATGAACTCATTTGCCTACCATGAAACCTCATTAGTACTTTCAATACTGTCAATTTTGTTATTATTAACTTATCCCTTTTGACAACAATTCCGGTGAAAAGGACAGATGCACGAAGTGCGTCGCCTTGTCAATCATACTCACCTTGCCAATGTCGTGTGCGTAGTTTTGTAGCTGAAGGGGCTGTTATGGGGGGGTCACATGTCGAACATGTTGTCTCCTGAGGAGACGAACCAATTCTTTTTTTAAACCGAACAGAGCGTAGCGGCACCCAACTCAGCAATCGTTGCAAACGTTGATAGACAGAAAAGTAAACACAGAAAAGCTACAAAACGACATGCGTTCGAAAGTACGCGTACACGTGGCTCAGACGAGCAATCATGTAAAAAAACCAAGTGATAGAGTGAAAATAATTCAGAGAACATTTGTACAGCGTGATAACAACACGCATTAAGATAAGCCATAATTTTCAAAATTGAAGTTACAGCGCTCGATCGTTATTTAGGCATATTAGCTCACAGACAGCAGAAACCAATAAAAGCAGATAACATTACATTGGGTTAGTCAAAAAGCGACATGTTTGCGGGCCTGTAAGTTTAAAGCGCGACACTTTTGGCGGGAAAATTAAACGCCGTTTGTTCTATTACGTCTGAAACAATGTTGAACGGCCGTAGAAGGCGGAACATAAACTTCTCCGAAAAACAATGAAAAGGAGAAGTACCTCATTGGAATGACTTTGAGGGGAACAGAGGGCTAGTCATTACGAAACGGAATACAGTATCTGAGAAGTTTCTCGTAATGTGGCAGATAATTATTAGACATGATATGAGACGACACAAGTGGAGGAAGCCGTATTTCAGAGAGTAGTCACAACGCCACAAGTGGACCTGACAATATAACGACACTGTTGTTTCCTTTCCAGCGGGCAGGTTATCAAGACCCGTAATGAAGTTAATGATTTATAAATTAAAACTGGTTCACTAGAGCTGCATAAATTGGATAGAAATATATGCCGCCACTTGTCTGACTCATCCAACGAAACATTGGCTTGAAGTTAAGCCATTGGGTGAAGGCGTTAGTAGCAGCCCGTTTAGGCGTTACTTGTATAAACTAAATTTTTAAAGTATATGAAGCTTGTTATAAAGAAACGTTTTATGGTGTAGCCTTGTTTGATTGTTTCTTTCCACAAAAACACCAGCTCGTCCCCTAAACAAGGAGCCCTCAGAAACATACCCTGCAGGTGTATATTCTCGGACGTGAATTTTAGTCACTCTTTTTCGGGCATCTATGCTTGTTCCCCGCAACCCATATAACTGAGTAAACCAAATCATCGTTTACTTGTCGAAATATACCGATGTCAAACATCGCGGCTAAACTAGAAAAAGAAGGCAGAAATGTAGTACCACAAAAATATAGCTATAGCATATATAATGCATACAAATACCTACGCGCGCAAAGCAACAACAATAGAATATGACGGACAAGAGGTCGCGTTCATTCACAACGAGAGAAAAATCCCAGCCTCGGTAAACTGCTGCTACGAAAAGCAAACATTTGTATCAGGAGAAAGATAATAATGCTCTGCTTGCTATCACTATCTATACGGACGACAATGATAATAATCATAGTAATTATTATTACCATTACCATGAATGTAGAAGGAAGGACGATATGTAACGCAACTCACGTACGAAACAAGGGAAAAATAGGAGACTAAATGGGGAGATGAGAAATTATAATAATATTCTTACGGAAAACGGAAAGGCCGACTAAACATTATATATATATATATATATATATATATATATATATATATATAATAAGAGCGAAAATAACCGTGACAATTGAAAGAGCGAGAATGCGCGTACTAAGGTTATATTATCATTATTATTATTATTGCTTAGAGGAACGCTGGGAACTTAAAAGGAGCTGACCGAATCGGGTGACAGATAATATCTTAGAAGTAATAATAATAATAATGATGATAACATGAATAGGGAAATTATATATATAATGAGACAAAGGCGGGAATAACGACGTAATAGGCGAGCGATATAAGAGCATAGATAACTACGATTACCTAATATGATAATTATACAATGATGATGAATATAACAAGGGTAAAATAACAACTACGTAGAAGACGATACGATAAATTGGAATGATCCCTTGCGGAACCGTAGAAACTACAGCCACCGCCAACACTAACTTATATATATATATACATAGAGAGAGAAAGAGAGAAAGAAAGAGAGGGGGAGGGAGGGAGGGAGGGAACGAGAATAAAAGAGGAAGAAAAGACTGAGAAAAAGTGAACGAACGAAAGGAGTTTAGAAAAAAGCGGCGGTGATATGGAACAGTGCGTAGCATGCAGTTTCAGGTATAATTATTAATAATAATAATAATAAAATATAAAAACCTATAAAGAGAAGCAAAAAAAGATAAGGAGAAGAAGCGACTTACTCAATTTGTAGACGTGCGCAAAAATCGACGACGGCAATAACATCAACAACTTTTATGTTTGGCACAATGTAATTCAATGAAATACGACTAGCTAGAGAGAGTAGATTAATCAAGAGACGGCGGTGATGTTTTGAAACTGATGGCAAACAAAATAAAGAAACGGAATAATACAGAAAGATTGCAGATGATCCTTTTAGATGAATTACTCATTTGCTCTATTGGCGCTGCATTATTTTTCCTGTCTCATCTACTATAGAGTTGTTCAGTCGTCAAGTAAATCATAGGTCTGCATCTAGTTTCTCTTCCATTAATCGTCTTCGAAACGCACGAAAATACACCGAGCCAAATTGGCACAGATGATTTTTGTCGTTAAGTCTACAGGAAAGCACTCAAACTCACGTATTTAGTGTGTTTTCATAGGGGTATTTATAACTGGTGGTAAGTTTGAGGTTCGTCGTATTACGACAGTCGTTGTTGCAGTTCTGAAGAATTTCTCTTTGACGGTCACCATCGGTTAGAACCTCTGGTTCGTATCAGATAATGCAAGATACATTCGTCAAGTATATATAGCCAACGAAAAACCGTAACTAAAGAGTAAACATGATACCTGTTTACAACAACAATAGTGACCATCGTAATTAAAGCAGTATGACTCACTCAATTATGTGTTTATTTAAGGACGATATAGAATTATGTGATGACGATGCTCTGATACGTTGAGGAGAGTCCACAAAACTGACGACAAAAAAAAAACCGTAAAAAAATCACCTGTAAAACGCAGCGACACCGTTTTATAACGGAACTGTGTCCTTAGCTACCTATCATTCACCTGATACCACTACAGTTTTAATTATTATTAACTGTTCATACAAAATCTAAGGAGAGATGAATGAAATTTACTACATACACACATATACCCACATGAAAAATGAGTGCGATAGGGTAAGAAGGGCGAAGACGGTATGATTAAAAAAATACGCTAAATATGGGGACGACATAAATTGGAGGGGCTAAGACCGATGCATAACTGAATTACTGTAATTATTGTAATGATGCTGATGCTGGAATTGAAGATACGAAATAAATGCGCATTAAGGTTTGAAGAAAATTAAGAGTTTGGGTATTTACTTGGCGCTATTTCATTGATTTTATGTCCCGCACCTCATATAATTGCTCACAAGGAAAGTATAATAAAGGAAGCCAAGGATAATCAATAGCCTTGCCCTTCTTAATCGGCCGTCTAAAGTAATGGGTAACCTAAAGAGAAACCGGACGCACAACCAAGGCCTGAAACACCTTTGTAGGCTCCATGTATATAGCCTGATTCATTAAGTTGGGCCAGCATTGTCTAATACTCATCTCTGAGTGTGTTGTCGAGGCATAATTTGTTTAAATTTTAGCGCTAACGCATAATACTTACCATGGCCTGTCATTTCATGGATCTGTTGGAGAAACCCCAGCAAAACCTGTCTCTGCTAGGTCTTCTACCGGCGATAGGTTCTCGACGCTATACCAGAGAGGTGGTTCTGAAGGCTTGTTCGTGCTGTAAAGATACCCGAACTCATAAAGAAAAAAAACCGCTGAATAGGTTTGCTTAAACACTTAAAGTTTAAATACGATTGTTTTAAATGCAATGCCATTGGGCCAGCCGCTTTTGATATAGCTTCCTGTTCCTTTGACTCTATATGGCCTAAATATTTTCGAGCAGATCATGTTTTCAGACTGTTATTTCCGAACGTCCCCGTAGATGTAATGCGACTTCAACTAGCTGATTTACGCCGTATAATTAAATAGTGATGGCCGACTAAGGAACAAAATAGAATTACCTATGCTCAGCATACATATAACAATACCCTTTGCGAGGTGTCAGGGCAGTGAGCGTATTGCAAAAATAACACAGCCAGCGAACCAGCGAAACTGCAATTATTTCCGAAGGTCGGCAGGATGGAGCAGATGTCTTTCTGAATGTCAGGCCATTATATTCTGTTAATGGCAGGTATGTTGTTTCGCAAAAGCGAAGGCCTCCGTATATTTTGCTGTTGAATGAATCGTCGTCGATAACGAGATAATTGGCGGCCAGTGTCGTCCGATGCAGTCGAGAAGGGTAAGGGTTTGGCGCGAAGGTGAAATTTTTTGAATAGCTGTTATTTGTTATTGACACCAGTCGCCTTTCTACTGAATGTATTTTTCTATCAGTAAACAGTTTCTTCGAAAGGTATTCGTAATCGTAATGGACACGTATGGAGCAAGGACTGTTGCTGTAACAATGGCATTACTTTGGGGAACAACACGTGCAGACAAATTTATGCTAGAAAATTTTGACAATTTTTTGGAAAATTGTTCATCATGATTATCAAGATATCTTCACCTGCATCTATCCCGCATCGACTGCAAGGTATTCACTCTAAACTTTCAAGAAATAGGTGCCTACTACATTTCTGTTCAGAAGTGTGGACCGTGCATAACGCGCCATAAATGTACGAAAAGCCAGCACCTTTTCTACAAGCTCGAAAACGCTGTATGCGTTATTGTTCTTTGTTTAAAAGACGCCGAAGGAATCATCTCCTTAAGTTGCTTTTATCGTACGCAAGCTCGGTTAGTAGCGGCATCTATGAGGCGGCTCTTCTTGTTTACGGAGCTTCGCCTAGACTGCAATGGGCCAGAAGATGGCGTATCACATTAAACGTACTTTCTTGGTTACTGAGACTCGTGTTTCTGTTATGTTTCATTGTGGATGCTGCCTACCAAAATGTGGATTACCTTATCAGCGTATGGAGTGATCGAGGTTCACTTTTGGATGTTGTCGAATTGTTGTATTACCTAACCGTAGGTATCTTAGAACTTGAGGCTGCAATAATTATCTTTCTGCGATTGCGACAGGTTCAGCAGATGACCAATGGTCGAAGATGGAGTAGTGGCCGTGGCTGTCGAAGCAAAAAAGTACACTTTAATTTATTTGCATTTGTTCTTGGTTGCTTGCTTAACGGACCTCAGGTAATGACTTCGTTCATATACGAAACCACTGACGAAGAAATCACTTACGACAAAGGCATCCTATTGCGAATATGTAACGAAATCAGCTCGTATATTCTTGTACCAGCACTGCTACTCTACCTTCAATGCTTGGCGTACGTTGAAGGTGAGTTACGTGCGATTGGTAGAATCACCTATCCAGGTCAGGCCGATCTGAGCGCTCACATCGTCGAAATGGTTGTCGAACGTAAAAGCCATATAAGATCAATGATTGCTACTATGAATCGCGTTTTTAAACGGTTCATTTTCGTCAAATTTGTCAGCGTCTTTTGCAGCGTTACGTTACAGGTTGGACTAACGATTGCCTACCCAAGGGCAGGCCTCGGACAGGAACTATCAGGCATCGTCACGGACGCTCTCCTCAAGCTCGTTGAGATTTTTTTCATATGCCGGTTCGGTACAATGCTCGAACGCAACTGCCATGAAACTGAGCGGCGCTTATACGAAGGAGGTCTTATCCTTGGCCACAAGGAGTATCGGAACTTGCGGCGGCTCCGGCGCGAACTTGCCTTTAATGCATCACGGGATAGCCTTGAAATGTGGTTAGGCTTCCAGATAAACCTGGCCACCCTGATCGCATTTTTTTCAACGATTATCACCTGCTGTGCCGTTTCGCTACAATTTGACCTGCGAGTCGTTCGCGCCATCAATAACGCCATGCGAAATTCGTCGACAAGAAGCTGAATATTTTGGTAAAGCATTGGTAATTTTGTAATATGCATCACTCGGTAGATGGGCTTAGCCAAAATGAGATTAACAGAAACAACTATAGCTTAGTACTATGAAATGATGCCTGATAGAGCATTTATTAGAAGAAACTCTTTCGTCCGGTATCTGTCTGTATATAGATATGTAACACTACATATTTTTTATAATCCATGTTATGGTTTAAATTCAATCGTAATTACCGATTTCTTATTGTTCATTGACATCTGGTATATAATAATGTGACCAACATTCTCAGTAAAAAATAAAAAGGATATACTTTGTTGTCCTTCCGCTAAAAACCTAATACGTTTTAGGAAAACGTTTTACGGTTTACAAGGGTAATAATGTTCACGTTGTTCAGTATGCTGATATTACTAACTTGAATTATCGAAAAGAATCACTAGGTTTTGGTTAGATATCCGAGTAGACTTTCGTACATGTGAACTAGTATTTTTTCTCATCCAGCGTATGTAGTTATCAAAGTAAAGGCTTGAGGTCTGTTGGAGAAAACCTAAATCAAATTCACCCCGGATACCTAATCCTGCAGGGCGAGTCTTTGATATTATATCCAATAAGAATTGATCCTTTCTGTTCATTCTGGGGAAAAATACCTCTGGATTTTGCAGCAATGCAACAAAAAAGTTAAAAAAGAATTGAGTTAGTTTATGCAAAATTCTAGTGACTTTCAAACGAATTATCTACTTATTCGAAGTAATCTCACCCAATTAAATGTTGTCGTCAGGAATACCATCACGGCATGTAATATATCCCTGTTAAGATCTACTTGATGTAGTTGATAAATTAGACTTCTTAAACGAGCATCCCCGTGTCAGGTAGGAAGGGTTTTGCTTTAAATAGTTCGTATACCATATGCTTCATTTTATCTATCTAGGACTGGGTATATAAGCAATATTCAGTGATAGCAGTGCGGTCACAAGTTTTCAATGCCAAGCAAAGCGAAGCCATTTCAAGCAAATGAAAAATCAATAGTTTCATATAGATCACACACTGAGATTTTACTGCAGAAAAGTTTCAATAATCTTGATACTGACACGCCTGTAATATGTGAAGGGATCATATATTTTTCAATTTAGCTTATTTCTGAGCCTTAAGGCCTAATAATACATAACAACTGTTAATACATGAACTCCGTTAGTTAGTAAGCAAACTCACATATGTGTAGCTAAAATGTTTGTTGTGTTCTGAGTCTGGTGCTCGAACCATTAGATATGACACGGCCGGCTCTAACCACATGGAATGAATTGCGTCTACGCGACTCGAACCTAAACCACCATGCGTTTTGAAGCTAACAGGCAAACACATTATTCATTGCGCTATAAGGGAGAAGCACATGCAAACTCAGGATAATCGCTTATTTTCGTATTTAAATTACGCGCTACTAGCGTTAAAAAGTGTTTCGTGCTAAAGACCACCCGGTGCCCATCCAGATCAACCGGCACCCGATATAGCTAAAACGAAACTTCGCGAAAAATAACCTGTCGTTCGATTGGGCTCTTATGAAACGGTATTGAAAAATGAAAGTGAAAATCAAAAGTAAGTGCAAACACAAGCAGCTATGATTTTTACGCCACATACGGTACAGTCTGCTATAAATGTGTATGGTATTTGTCTACGTGCAAGTCAGTTGATTCAAGGTGATCATTTCATGTAACAATGCTTATGCTTACAAAAAGACGTGTGTATTGTTTGGTACGTGTAGCAAACAAAGTCGCAGCAATATTACGTGGTTTACTCTTATCAAGGAGGATAAAAGTCTCTCGGAGATGTAGATAGAGAATCCATATGTTTCTTCATTAGTCTCGTTCGCTTCTTTCGAAGCAGATGGACAAAAAATTGTTTCGAAATCACGACAGAACTCAGCTGTATTTGCTTCGATTGTAGAAATGGTATCTAAGTCTATATATATATAATGCTTCCAAACAACAATGTCAACGATGACAATATTATTATAAATGTATGTCCATACAACTTATATCTACAGCAAATAAGAATCTCAAGTTTTTTCAACTAGGTTAGGTTGCCTCTGCCGCCTATACTTGGTGAGCAATGGCTGTGGTTAATGTGCAGTAAACATTGCTCAGGGTTGTGCTTAAGTACGAAGAGTATTGTTTATTTATTCAGACTTTTATAGCTCAAAAGGTGTCCTGCTTCCTGAAACACAGATATATCGCCTATACTTAGACAGCAAAGAGTAGGGCACAAAGTTACAAAGGGGGTTCAGATTTCTTTTAGTGCTTCAAGTCTTTTCATAAATCACGTTCTATTTATGTGTATGTTCAAATAATTTGTTGAACACATAGTAAGAGTGACCTTGTGTACCTTACAGAGTGGACCGCGGTGGCAACTTGGAAGTGGTTAGCGAACGACGATAACTGCGGTAAATGCATAAAACGCCTTCAATGACTAATCTATATGCTAAATTCTCAATGATCGTTTATAAGCACTTGCTTGCATAATACTCACAGAACCTACAAAGAAATTAGAGAGGTTTAAATACACACCTGCTTCCTCCACTAGCTAAAATTCTGGTACATAATTGCAGTCTGATAAGACAAGTCTGCAGTTTGTTTACCCTGCGTTGTGGCAAAATAGGACACGATTTCTTTGCTATACTTTTATGTGTAAAGCATATTTTTAATGTAATTCTATATCCTAATATTTCTGTGCTTCTGATGCACCACGATGGCTGTGGTCTTTGAAAACATTTTGAAGTACTGTACCATGAAAGAATTCGACTAGTCCAACTCGAAGAAGCTCATACGCGTCTAGTGGGATTCAAGCTATTTTATAGCACTTTAGTTTTATATATATAGAGCTTTTTTTCTGATATAAAAAGACTCATTTTTGTTTGCCTTTTTTGTTTGTCTTTTCAGTCACTTCCATGCTAACAATTAGAATGCAGCCCATTCCAAAAGCATAATTTTTGATAATTTGCTTTTGAGTCGTGCGTTAACTTTTGCTTATTAAATCTTCATTTTTCTAGGTATCTGTCGAATGCCTTTTGATTCATGCTGTCCAGATTGCCGACTTCCGGGCGATGGTTGCCCCCTCGTATGGGGCAAGTGCTCACACTGTTTCCATATTCATTGCATCGTAAAATGGATTCAGGCACAACAGACCCAACAGCAGTGTCCGATGTGTCGACAGACATGGAACTTCAAAGAATAGTGTACGTGAACGGTTGACCGCGCTTTAAACAAGCCGCTCCTGACGAGCAAGACAGCACGTATAGGTGATGTGGTGCGGAAACAGTGGCGGCGAATCGGGTCGTTGAGCTTCATTCAGGTGGCAGAGCCTGTTCATTAGACAGTTGACCTTCCCTATTCTGTATATATAGATAAACACTATGAAAAAAAAAGGGAAATTTCATCGCTCAGTTGATGTAGCCTTTATGGTCAGACAAGAGAGAAAAGCTTTAAATAAGATTAGGAGGTGATATTGCGTCGTTATTTGATTGGTATTACAACCACAGAAGGAAATATTTTTACCCCAGTATGGTAGAATCAAACTATTTTAAATATATTTGCTATGGTAAAGCAGACCGTGAAAACTCGTGTATATACCATGTATAAATACTGAATTGGTTAGAAATAGAAATAAATATAAGGAGAATATAATAAAGGCTATCGTTAAACTAGATGACAAAATAAAACAATAATTAATTATTTTAACTGTAATTTGTGTTCTAGCATATTTTTTAGGGCGGTCAACAAGCATGTCTTTTTTAAACTTACATGAAAATGGTATTTGCCTATCACGAGAATTCGGGTCGCTTAACCGCGAAGCCGATGCCGCTCATTAATGCAAACTGTGTGCTTTTACTTTCTCAAGATTATAATAGGTAATCCTTTATGAAGCTACTTAATGAGACTTTGAGACTACAATTGCACAGTTTTATGCTTGATTTACCACCAACACTATCAAGTAGCATGTTTTGCAGGTTAAAATGGTGTTGCCATTTATTAAGAATACTTGATGCGTTACGAACACACAGCGAACAATGATATCTGGTACATAACGTTAAGGAGTTACCAGCCATAAGCTTTGAGGTACTAAATGTATAATTTGAATCACGCTCTAGACACACATGGGTGTTCCGTAATTAGCGTGCATTTTACGGATCGGTTACGATAAATGCCTTTTAATGCGATAATGCCTAATAATTTAATTAATTAATTTAACATTATTCTATTAAGTAGTCCTATTGACGTATTGTCCGTCGATGCCGTCTAGGAACCCCCATGCGACTTACATGGCTGCTGAGAATTACGCAAGCACTTGGCCCTGACATCTTACTTGATCTACCTTGACAAACCGATAATGATTCTCAAAAGAACGTTATGATCATTTGTAGTGTAATAAGCTGTTCGCCTTTTCGCTAGAGCTTTGGCCACTCGGAACATTCCAAACGAATCTAGTTTGGCGACACGATCACTCAGTGCGGTGTGTCTACGTGATGTAATAGTTGTTCGGTGTAGGGTGTTGTCCGACGTTTTATCAACTAATAGGTTGTTTGTAAATATAAATACATTGTATGTTGACAATTTTGCTACGAGTATTCAATCAAATGTCTGCGGTGCGTGCACGTATGGTCGATAATGTCTGCCATTGAATATTTGTCACTATAAAAAGAGAATCAAGCAGACCAACATGGTCAGAAGCGTGTCCATATATAGTTAAAAAATGAAGTGTATAACGAGGTTTACGAATAAAGCATTTTTTTAATGTTCTGTTGTCGTCGGATGAGCTAAACATCGCCAATTTGAGACAGTGCAACGACAGAGTGTTTTCCTACTACACTTATGGACGCGAGCTGAGGTCCAGGTTTGAAACCGACGTGGACAGATATGAACTTGTTTCACGATGCTGGAAGGGCCTGCCAGCCGATATTTAAAACACTTATATTATATGTTAATGCATATATGAACAGTATAAGAACCGCCCGTGCTGATTTAATTCATTGTGCCGTAGTTTTCCTAAATCCTTCACTAATAAACCAGGTACGCGTGTTCTACGAAGCTGCTTACGTCTATTTCTGCATTGAAAGATGAACTCACTGTGATTGAGAAATGTTATTCCTTTGGGTATATATTTTTTTTTTACTATATTATTTAGTGGAGAACAAATGACAGCATTAAATGATTTAATTCAGTTAGCTCCCGCTACGAGGAACTGGCGTTTTTAGATGAGGATCTCGGAGTATTCCGCTATACAGCCCATACATAAGTACACCCACAAAAGTGAAGATTCCAAAGTAGGTAAAAAGTGTGCTCGTACATATATGTGCAGACTTATGACGCTTGTACATTAAATTTAAGACAATATTTCATTGCACGTTGACAACTCGTTTAGTCTGTATGCTTGTAAACGGTTATAAATAATGTCACACGTGGTCTACGTGAAACTCGATCAAACCAAAAAGACAATAGTTCCTCACATTAAACAATGAACTGCCCACCATTTATGTGCTTCTACAAATTAACCAGGTACAAGTACGGAAGCGCTTTTTCTAGGTGTTTCAAAATTCTTTTTTTATTTTTACCTGCTAATTAATAACTATACAGGAACGACCGAATTTTCAATACTTACTTGCCATAGCAGTTTTCACATATTCACTAAGGCCAATTACTTTGCCTGTTCAAGATAAATTGTTAGAATTTCCCCAACTAATAGCAGTACAACGGTTTAGATGCGAGATGTGCACACAGCTAAAGATATCCCATGTACGTGATCACGTTACCTCTATTGAATCGTAGACACGCCATTAAGCATTCATGATTTCTTCCAAGTGTTTGTCCAGCGTTTGTGTACACGTTGACACGCCATCCCTTCGTTCAACATCACCTGTATTATAATGTTCATTTCAATCAAGTACAGTGCAAGCGTAGGCGTCGTGCAGTGTCGTGCAGACATGTACAATAACAGCAACGGTCGGCGTTTCTAAACAAATTGCAAAACCACTGCTGTTGCTTGTCAGACGTCTCTCTGTTAAGCTGAAGGTGGTGATACATTCATCAATTGTTCCTCGGGACCCATATGAATTAAGACATTAGTAAATTTCTTTTCAAGTGCATCCGAAGAATGGCAACGGGCAGTGACCATAGGAAAGCTAAGAGCTCAACGAGTCTGCCTCGTTGCTTTGGCGTACACGAATTTCGCTTCCGTGGTTAAAATAAACTGCCGTGATAGACTTATTGTTTTGTGTTGTCATTGTAAACTGCGTGAATTTTTCGTAGATATATTTCTAAGGTGGTACTTTTTCGTGCGAACTATACATATGTGTGTCTATATATACATATATACATACATATCTATATCGTTTTTCACCGCTTAGTATTCGCCTTTTGTGTTATGTCCATAGCCGAATGGATAGTATAAACACTGTCGTATTTAGGGGTGTCCGAAGTTCTAATTCATGTTCGCAAGTTCTCGTGTGGTATTGCCGTACCATATATACTTTGGGTTGTCTACGTTAATGTTAAATGTCGGTATGGCGTATATATATATTGCTATAACGCTTCGTAGCGGATTAAACCGTTATCCCTATCCCATCTCAAACTTTTTAACTGTACATTTAACTTTAACCGAAATAGCTACGTTGTTCTTTTTTAGGAAAAGCATTGCTAGATTCGACGAAGAGCTTCAATCAGATTGACCTTTTGTCAGATACAGTATTCAACTAATAAGCTGTGTGACCATCGAACAATCTGTCGTTGTGTAGTAAATAAAAACGCAAGCATTGTTGACACTTGTTTAGGGGACCTGTTTTTGCAGTTTATTGCTAATGAGATTCGTAAGTCATAATCACTCGAGGTACCATTTTCGTTGCCTATAGCAGATATTTTTAGACTGGATTATAAAACATGCCGAAGTGCGCTTGTAGGAGGTTTTGACTTTTCACCCGTTGGAAGGCGCCGTTGATGTGAAAGTTTTGGTCTTCATAGAACCTACTGAGCAAGTGGTGTAATAATGTACTAACTCACACATTCGAATAAAAAACAGACCCGAGTTATAATCAAATACATACGTGTTCGCGTTTCCTTTATTTACTAAACTGAGCTATGATGAGTTTTTAACTTTACAGATGATTTTGACCAGTAACGTTCACCCTATGAGATCAGGAACCGTTTAAGTAATACAGATGACAGTTAAATCAAGATATACTCGATATATTATGCCTATTTTCCATAACATACATTATATATATACAGTATACTCGTGTTGGCAAGACACTCACATCTCGTGGTTTGTAGTTATACAATGATAATCATCATAGGAGTCTTTCCTTGTACCTGCTATTCCTTTTATCTTCTCCGTTGACGAGAAGAGTGCCCATCAGCCTCTACGCTGAGACCAAGTGACCATTATTCGATGCTAATATTTCGTACAACTATTAGGCTCACAAAGTGGGCGAGGGCATCCAAGCAGCAAACCGTTAAGAAAAGGCAGGATGCTGCACCAGCGCCGATACCTGTTTGCCCCGTGCCCCTTTCGCACATCCTTGCTCTCAACACTTCCCATACTTGTGTGATTTGCGACGCTATTAGGCTCCTGCTTTGTAGTCCTAGAAGCACGACAGGCCGTGCACCATTGCAGGATGCACTGTTTGGCGCCGTCATCGGGTTCGTTTGCGAGCAGTAGGGCAGGATGGAGCCAATGTGTGGCACTAAAGCATATGTGCCTTGTCTAAACGTCTACTCCATAAGAGCGTTGGTAACCGATTGATCCTAAGAAGTGCTTTCGACTTCCCCCAACCCTGTCGAAATTTCTCACTCGCCATATGAACCTCTATGTAACTGTGTGAGTGAGAAAGTGTGTGTATGTATGTGTGTATTTCGGATCAAAGCGTCTGGTTTACCCGACATGTAGCCACCTATTGGCTGTGGGTCCCCGGTGGACTCTGTTAGCCCTTGGGCCTTGATCCGGCCAGCCCGGCTAAACGCGTCGACAACCCCAAGCTGTTCCCGTCTCTGATTTGGTGTGCGTGGCACACTCAGTCGATGCTTGGTTGGGAAGTGC